AGGAAAGTCCACTCCCCCTCTCGAAATTTTCTCACATGGTCACGAGTATACAGCCACTGCCAGGAAGTCCTACTCACTGCCTTCTCGCACCATGAGTGTTGTTTACGAAAATGAGGACGAAAAGCAAATGTCCGGCGCTCTAACCGGATTCCAAACCAATGGTGCACATGGGCTCCAGTATCTTGAGGGAACAAATGGCGTATGAACCAATCATTGGTCACCGGCTACCATGGGACTGCATCTCTTTACGATGCTCCACTGCCTTGTGGGTCAGACCTTAAGGTCGAAGGCTCCGGGTGTGGCCCCCTAAGAAAACCACCTGTTTCGGTTTGAGCACCCGGGCGGTACCACAGCCCTCACACATCAAATGAGATTTGTGTGGCGCATATGTATATGGTGCCTCCTTGTACCAATATCTGTGTTAAAATAATAATAATCTTCTTGAGGTACCTGAAAAGGAAACTGCAGTACGACTTCACCTTCGGACCTTAAGTTTGTTGCTTTTAGTCTTACCGCTCTTCAACCAACCTGTCTGACATGGTAGGACCTTGAGGAACGGTTGTCCCAGCCAGTATACCTCGGTTGCTTCATTGCAATAGGCAAGCCCGACCACGACGTCAAGGTAGCAACAACGGTCGGGTAGTTTTAATTTATTCCGAAACAACTGTCCACCGAATACTCCAAAACTGACAAGCATAGATTGTGAATGTTGGTTTCTAACGCAATATGGATTGATTAACTCCAACTGCTAATGTGGCTAGTATTATCAAAAGTTGGAGATAATATAACAAATAGCGTGTATTAACAAAAAAAGTGGACAGGATCGAGTTAGTTTTCAGTTGTTTGGTGTTTACTTGGGGTAAGGTTCCTATTCTATTCTTCTTACCTTGGCTAAAGTTGAGTAAATGGCTAACATGAGACCAAATACTACCATTTTACATTCAGAATGTTTTGGTCAGCTTTAAGCTACTAAACGTTTCTTATGCAACGGAAACAAGCCTTTCCAGATGGAGGTGCTCCCAATCACTAGACAGTTAGAACCTAACTGAAGGAACACCAATTAGTTTAGAACTCAACAACTAATCGCGTCCGGACTTACTACATGAATATGACAGGATAATTTAGAAATATTGTGCAATTGGAAATATTTTTGAAATACGACCTTTTTCTGTTAGAACAGACTCGCTTAAAAATCACGAAACAAGGTTCAAGTATGTGGCAATTATCTCCTATATAAACGAGGAAATGACTTTGATGAATGAGTACCTTGACACTAGAATGAGAATCTTTAAACCCGGAAACTAAAACATTTACAGAAGTAATGTATATTATTAGATGCGATAGTGATTTCAATATGTAAACGGAAATAACTGACAGGACAAATAAGCACGCACCTGCTATGAACCTCAGATCCGAAACAAATCCAGGAACACGTTGGCGAAATTACAGAAAGCTATATCTTTCGAATTTTAACAATATAGGGTGCATCTGGACAAAAAGAGATAACCTCTAGTCTTTAGTAGTAACACTTGGTACATAAACGTCTACCATTCACAAAGTGCTGACATGCTGAGAGAACCGAATAAAATTAGAAAGATGAAGGTGCTGTTGCGCCAAAAAAGCTAGCTTGTCGAAAGTATATGACTTTTGAAAAAGACTCACTTGTAATCTTTCATAAAGAGACCTGGCATCATAAGGGGCTTCAACTATACCCTCAGCCTCTTGAATCTTTTTTCTTGCTTCCACATCTACTTCAGATATAAACTTAGGCATCAGGTCAAATATACGTAACGCTCAGTGTTCGATTGATTTAGCCCAAAACTCGTGATATGTTAGGCAGCGGGTATCTGCAGGAGAGAAAGGCAAGGGGAAAAGTGCGGCGACAAATGAGAAAACAGCTGGTATGTATTTACTTAAAACAATTTACCAATACAAGTGAAAGAGCATGAAATTAAGTCAACTGTTTTCGGAACCACCGCTAAGTTTATCCAATATCCAATTTCTGTTTGAATGGTTCAAATGGTTTAACAGGAAATAGAGGAGGCTTTCGCTTAACAGGCTTTCGTATCAAGTGGCAGTGGATCACCACTACCTCCATAAAATAACCTAGGTATGTTATCTAAAAAGCGAAAGAATAAATAAAACGATCTTTAGTAGTTAAGAATATGTCACGTTTTCTCCTATAAGACTCCTGCGAAGTCGCATGAACTAGTTAGGCCGGCAGCGAATTCTAGCATTTGACAACTCTTAAGGAGTACAAGATGTGTCTAAAATAAGTCTGCAGCATTTGATATATCTTCAATGTTTGCCTATAGTTTAAAGCGACTTCGTTTGCCCGCTGATAGTTTACTCGAAAGCTCTCTTTCTGTCCCTCAGGAGTATTTAAGCTTAGTTATTGAGAAGATATGGTCTCCTAGAATTTTCGATTGAAATACAAATCTGTTGGATTAGCCTTTTACGTCTACTCTGTGTTAGATGACAATCCAGGACTCGATAATACGTGTTTGGAAAAAAAACGTGAATAGGTTGATTCCTTCGGAGATTTGAGAAGCTGTTCCAAGTCTAGTCTGTTTGAAGTCAGAATAGATAAACAACTTTACACAAATAACAGAATATTGATCTAGGTGTGTTTATGGCTCCAGATGCTGCAAAATTCACGTGTACTCAATCCGATTCCATGTAGGATTGAGGGTGCAGACTGGCGAGTATCAAACAGGGATGTGATAGGTACACCAGGCTCGATTTTCATTCAATATACCATCAGATCATGATAGTTATCATCGAATCATTCCGTTTATTGGACAGACATTGAACATGACGGCTTTTGTTAGTGTTTATCTCCAGACAGTAACAGGGAGAAAACTATGAGTTGCCCAGGTCTAAAATATCAAGCAATTGGAAGTTTCGTTGATCATATATATAACGTCCTCTACTTGATTACGGCAGAATATGATATACAACTAAGGGTACTCGAACGCGTAAAACCGCACAGCCGCAAATTAGAGTACGGAAGAAGCAGGAGAAGTGATTATCGTGTGAGAATCAAGAATGTACATAAAACCATGGGTATTTATAGTTATTAGCGTTGGTTTCAACACCATTATAACCCAGTCAATTTGCAAATAGGCGAATTATGCTATCGTCCAATCGTAGCATGCCAACCCTGTAATATATATAGTTCATATACTCGACACATTTATGTAAATAATATCTTTTACGAAATTTAGATAAAGATTTCTAAAACATGGCACTAGTTTCATTCTCTTTTTTGTGCATCTGGAAATCTGAGTATCATAATTGATTCATAATCAGTGTATAGGATGAGTTGTGAACTATGTTGAAATTAGTACACCATCTGGAATGCCAGAATAGTGGAACTAACCCCAAAATTATAGATTTATAATGATGTGAGTACATAATCGACATGATCTTACGTCGAAGTCACACCATAGTGTATACGGATTAATCGTACCTGACAATCAGCAATATGATGCCAAGCACCTCTGAAGAAACCATTAAAGCTGAGTATATAATGATGTATTTATTATAATAGGAACAAACTACATAGTTACTGTTCCTGCACGGTCGAGCCATGCTGCCTCGAACCTGCATTCCTACGTTCACCGTTTTCGACCTTCTCTTAGTGTTACATACTGAATACAAATCTTCTCAGTAATTATGTGTTCAGGTTCGAAGACTGTTTTGTTGGGAATCTATATACTTACATACCTTCCTAGTTAAATAGTTTTAACCTCTTGAAATAGTTTTTATACCTTAATTATAGAAAGAGACATAAACGTGTTGTTTGTAGTGCTAAGTTAATCCCCGAAATAAATACTTCTGTTAGCTCTTGACATATGGTACTGACCCCACTAGTTTTATTAAATGCACCTAACTGAAGGTTCGCATTCACACATCCACACCACATTGCGAGTTGGTTTCGTCGCGCTATGCACCTCTTACAACAGTTACTCAGTTTAGATCAAATAATACCCAGAATTTAGAAAGCCTTTCAAGTAAATCTTCGAATTTTTTCATTTCTGAATTCTGATTTTACTGGGTTGGCATGTTTCGATTATAAAGGTAGTACGTGTAGAAACGTTAAACTCCGGATACATGTGGCATCTTTACGTCGATCATCAACTTAGGCGATCCATTTCGATGATTGGAAGGCTATTCGAGTTGAATGGGAATGGCATAACCAACCAGCTTACATCAAGTTCACACTCTATGGTAAGTACTTAGGGTGGATTACTCCTGACTCATTCCAGAAAATATGGTCGTGTTGATGATCGTACAACACAAACAGCGGTATTTCAGAAATATATTAGTAAAACTAGGTACAATGCATACAGTCCGACCACTGACGCATGTTCACGTCAATGGTGTGTAGTTAACTGATACCCGTCGGTTCTCCATGACTTTAACGGTAATCGGCTAACTGCACGATATTCAGTGACCTCATAGCCTGATCAGTTGAGAAACACCGTGACATCATACCGATCCTACAATGTCAAAAGGAAATAGTAAGACTAAAAAGGACAAAAGTACATTAGAAGCACAACACAAATCTTTTTTGATTGATAAGGGGTAAAAACTGATGAAACATATAGAAATCAACTGATTTGCAGCTACGAGCTACAAAGATATTGAGGCTGGGAATAAACTCCACATTTTCAAGTTATCTAAGTGTATCATAGTTAGTAGTTGCCATTATGTTCTCATTTATTTATCTACCCAGTTGTAGAAATTTTGGAATTATTGATCTTACTTAAATAACTGGAGGTATTTTTATATGCTATGTGGTAATTTTTCTTTTATCATGGTTGACTGCCTTACACTTGACTCATCCTCAGCATGATGATGTGGTATTTTCATTATAGAAAACGTAATATTTTCCACGTGAGCCATTCAAAACGACCGATAACGAAGCATGCACTCCATCATAGATTACGACAGTGTAGATGAAAATTCCTTCAAGGTAGGAATTGCGAATGAGAGGGAAGTTTATCTTCACCCAGAAATTAGATATGAGGGAAATTGGTTGTTGCGCTACTTGCGAAGACCTTGGGATTTCCTTACAGTTTTTATACAGTTCTAGTAACAGTTGTGTATTTATTTCATAGAGATGTTTCCACATATTTTGTTCTGCAAAACCACACTGGTTTTAATTTGTTACTTTGAATCCTTTGACATCACTTCCGTTGGTGACAAGAAATTCCAGTGACCTAGTCTGAATCTAAGACGGGAGTTTAACGGTATTTCATCTTGCAATCATGAGTTTCATGCTTCTTGGATCAAAAAGCTTTGAGCTGTGCTATTTCCCACATCCATGCAATCAGTTACCACGTAATTTCCTAAGCAAACAGTTAAGCTGAGGGTTTCAGGTCGTTAAACTAAGACTAAAGTAGTTACACCGTTGCTAGTTGTTCAGCTAATGATTCATAGTTGCCTTAGTTATTGTTGTGAGCCTTTAATTTGCCGATTTGGTATCTTAAGGAGTGTATTTGGCTGGTGGTGCTAGCCACGTGGCCAGCAACAAGACTGCTGTCTTCATAACCAAACACTTGTAAAATAAACATGTAATATATGGTTCTGCTATGCATAATAGTGGGCCCTACAATCACCCACGTAATGTACTATCGACTTGAGTGACTAGGTTGGGCTTTCCGCAAAGTGCGTGGTCTCTCCATGAAGTCACTCCGGTGGCGTGGTTGTAGTACTGTAGAATGAGAATTTACCTGTAAATTTGTATCAGTCCTACAGTTGCTAGGTCTTTTTCTTTAGTCTAGGATACGAGTGGAGTGCCCAATCACGGCACTACGAGTTATTAACTAGAGACCAAGCTGCTATCTTTGATTGAGGTTCAATGATTATGGAAGAATGCATCTCACATATATTAGGAAATACCTGTTGTTCAATAACTCAAGCGCCTCAAACTTTGGTGGCTATTAGTTGCTTTGATTTCATGGTGTTGAGTACCGCCATCTGTCTTGTGTTTTGATTATGAATCCAGAACTCCCAACCCTCTAAACATATTACCAGGCCAACATGTTTTTACTTTTCATACTTGAAGATGCTGTAAATAGGCTTGAAATGCTCGTTAAATTATGCATCCTTATGCGTTTTTATTTGTCGTAAGTTGTACTTAACACATCTGTTTATTTATTGAGTTCCTAACTGGTCAGTTGTACGAATCAGTGTTTATATTCTGTTTTAGCAACCAATGCGATTCTTTTATGAGCACGTGTGACAGGGATTCTTATAAAATTTTTATTCAAAAACAGGAACTTGGTAAAAGGTTACTCTAATAGTCGACTTGTACTCATAAATACTCTATCCCCACTTAGACAACTCACTTCTGAAACCATAGACAAAATATTATTTGATGGAAAGTTCTAACTAATCATTATTGCTGGATACTTTTGCACAAATATGAATAATTGATGATGCATTTTCTTTTTTTTCATAGGTTATCATATCCCTAGTTACGTTGTATCTAGATCCGTGTGGAGTTTCTTAGATTGTATGATGTCTCCCATAAGCAGACAATACGAAATTGAAGTAAGAAGACGAGAGGTTCGAGATTTAAGGATCCATTGTGCTTGTGAAAGGCAAAAGTTCAGCCGTACTGTTTTAGACCTAATTAATTATTGTCAGCAGAATATCTTATTAGATCCCCTTATTCATCGTGTTAAAGATAATCCTTTCAATGAAAAGAAGTGGATGTGCGGGATGTTCTAAAACTTTCAACATAATGAATGTAAGGAACCCCAATATTTTTGTTTGCGAAACGTTTAACAGTCGTATTGGTTCATAAGCAAAATAAAGAAGCTTCGTAACTTTGTTTTATTTTCACGAGGAAGCATCAAAGATTTATTCAGATTTTAAGAGAATATCTAGTTTACTAATATGAATAACAAGTTTTTTAAATGCTCTCCGGATTATCTGTATTTCTCAACATTCGTTACTGTGACCTAGCATTATAGTTTATCTATCATGAAGACTACTGAGTTGTTGACCAAAACATTTGTTAACTGAGGCCCTGGTATGTTATGCAAACCAGCTAAAAGAATCCAGAAGAGAAAACCGGAATTGTATCAGGGTGTGGCGGCGCTAGAATATTTCTTGTGAATAGCCGACGTTTCTATCTTTCCACTCCATAACCTTATAAATTTTCTCACCAGCAAGGTTTACGGCTACTTAGGGAACATTAGGAAACTATTGGTGAAAGTCCATTTAGAGGTCAGCCTTGAGCAACCAGCTCCAAGTAATTATTATCACGCTACCCGTTCTTTTTGGAGGTTTCTCAAGCGGAGATATCTTACGTATCATACGCAACGCAGAACCTGGCACATATATAAAACCTTTCAGGTTGTTACGTCCCGTTAGCACAGCGAGATGAAATTGTCAGAACAAATCGCAAGGTAGTAAAAGTATTATTAGTATCAGTTATAATATAAAAAGATGGGACATCAAAAATGCTGTTCGTGAGAATATGAATTCGTACGTATAATGGGTTCATGCACTTGGGTTATTACGAACGGATCCAGAATCCTAAGGGAACAAATGGCTTATAAACCTATCGTTGATCACCGGCTACCATGGGATTGTATCTTCTCACGTTGCTCCACTGCTTCATGGATTATATCTTTAGGTCAAAGGTTCGGGGAATGGCCTCCTAAGGAAAACATCCGCGTCAGTTTGGGCGCTCGGATAATATTCCGGCCCTCACACAATCGAAGGACGAGGTGTGACGCATATATATTTGGTGCCTTCTTGTACCAATGTTTGTGTTTGAATAAATAAACAAAAGGAATAGAAGTCTAACCATAGGTTACGATAATCACGTGCATCTCAACCAGGTAGTCTGTAACTACATACCAACATGATACTCTGCTACGGTGTGGTTATACTTACGAAATCAACTTTATTTCTGTTACCATTAGTCCTGTTTCTCTACAGATTCTTCTTACCAGCCTTTCCTTACTTCGCCTATCAAATATGAAACCAGTACTAATGGTTCAACCTTGTGACAAATGCATCTCTATAGTGCTCACTTTGGAAAATAAGGATACTCACAAACGTCTGATTCTTGTGGTACTCCTTAACCTGGTGGCTGAGTTTGACCGTATATATTGAAAGGTCTTTGATAGTGTGTTATTGAAAGTTGGACAAAGTGTTGCATCCAACTAAAGGGTATTTACTTAGATACCTGTGGTTGGGTTATATTTCATGATGAACTATCAAGTAGATTGGTTACCCCATAGGTGTCTGTCAGGCTTGTCCACCTTCCACATTTCTAAGCTTCGTCATGGTTGTGTAAAAATAGCTGGTGAAGTTTCCGTTAGTTGACGTCGTACCCGGAGAAATCAACTTGGAGTACGCGAATGTTATAGCTCCATCTCATGTAAAGACTAAAGATGTGGGGTTCAAAACATTTCAAATAACGGCACGAATGTTCTGAGTGAGTTTCTCTTCGAGCGTAGACTTTCTTCAGGACTGGTCTACAACCATGCTCAGTCTAACTGTAATTATTGGAGTAGTTGATCAAATTGATTACATCACTTATCTTAGGAGTTTTATCGCCACTGTTGATTCGTTATCTGTATGTACTTATGCTTATTGTCTTTGTGGCTTCATTCTCGTATGGTCAAATAGTCGACTGTTGGTGTATTCCGTCTAGTGAAATATGGAGTTCCTAAATAGAATTCTCAAGGTATGTATAATATGTATTTGGAGACTACAGGTAATATGGACCGATTTCTACATTATCGAGGTAATGGGTCTCACTTATATGAAGATCGTGTTCCAGTTAAATGAGCCGCAAAATTTGCTAAGATACGGCTTTTTCTTCGTCAATGATTTTATTTAGTTTTTCGGTAGATCAGCTTTAAATATAGACTAGTGTTAAGTTACATAATTATGCAGTCATATGTGTTATATTAGTTTGTGTATTCATTCGGATAGTTGCTTTCTCCATCTATGTGTAGCATCTTTTTCACCGAACATAGGACTAACTGTATCCAATAATTTCACGAAATACTTAGCATTTGGTGAGTAGTTCGTCTTAAATATACAGTATGCGAATGGGAAAGGTTTTTATCACATCTTATGTACACTGGTGTAAGATCCGATCACTTGGAATGTGTCAAGTAAATAATCTGTACGTGAGAGGAGGACCCATTTTACTCAGGTAGGGAATTATTTCCCCCGGGCGTCTGATGTGGAATGATACTTATTAGGTTGTTTAGTGCTCAAAAACCATCTGCTCGGACCTCAATGACTCGGCTTTGTATGTCGAACTATAAGACTGTTATAGAAGGTATGCTTCCTACAATTATGAGTACATTTCTATCTTGAATAATGGAAAAGTAGATGTTAGTTTTTTTCTTTTCAATAAGCTATCTGTTTATTGAACATCTCAATTTTCCATGTACATCCAAATACCTAAATTCATTTTTTCGATTCAGTGTATCTTTTATTGGCTAGTTGGATACAACACCATGAATATAAACGGTATATACAAAGTGGATTAGTTTTAATATAGATATACCATGTAGATAATATTACAGTTTACTTTAGAAGTATTCATACAGACTACCATTTACTTGATGTGTAGTACCTATCTCAAGCTTCGTTATTTTTATTTGTAAAGGAGGCTTTATTTCGTTAGTTGTAATTTATATTTGGACATTCGAATTTCGCCCATTAAATGGCGAGTGCAAACTAGCTCCATCTTGTCCATACCTAATCATTAAGTTATCAACAAATTTAATCAAGAATTTTCATGTTAATTCCATTTGAAAGGTAAGAGTACATAAAGATGTTAACAAGTGGTTTATTTTAACGCATAATTAGTAAAATATTTACTACCTGAGGAGTATATCGATGAAGTAAATGGACTCGTCATCAGAATGTCTTCGTGTGGCTTGTAAACATTTTCTGTTAGTTAAAAACATAAAAGGATTTGTAAAATAAAGTATATTTTGCACAAAGAACGTAATTGTTTGACTACTACGATAAACAATATACCATGTGTTACAAAGTGAGTCTACATCTTAGATTGTACAGATGGAGTGTTCATATATTTTAAAACCAAGTAAAGATTATTTGATAGGTTCTTCAAGAAAAATACACCATCTGTTCCAATCAGAATTTATAACAGTAGAACGATTATCATTACACTATTTGTATCAACAAAATTGCGCTTTTTATTAATGCTAAAATAATCTTTACATATATGTTCACTCAAATAGCATCTTGTTGTAAATTTTCACCATATTCCTTATAGGTAAAAGAATTGGAACGGATTATTGAATGTTTTAACGTAGATATTTCCTTAATACTTTGGTGTCGATCTAAATACAGATAACTTTTTGAACGGTTAGCATTATAATGTTTATCATTTGTTAGTTGGTTAGAAGGTATAGTTCTCAAACGAGTATCATATTTTTTGGTTAGTGTTTCAATCAAATCACCCAATGAATGCGGTACGTAAGTATCCATATTTATCTGAAAACAGATATCAAATAAATGGAAAACTAAATATGATACAATAAAGGCGTTTAAAGTACAGTTCAATGTATACATAAGGAAATAATCATAATTCATGCGAATTTCAGCACGAACAAAAGGAATATAACTCGTTAACTTGTCCAGATGAACAGTTTTAGGAATGAAGACTCACATTACTAGCTATTTCCATAAAGCTCATCTCAACACGAAAATATTGGTACTCTATCTTCCAAAAAATGTCGGCCATGTGAACTAGTAGAAATTAATTTCGGAATATGGATATTATTATTTACTGTTATGCAATCCAGTAAAAGAGTGGAACCTTTTTATCAAGCTTCGAGTTACTGTTATTGTATGGGGGTCAGACATTGCGTTTGTTTCAACTAAAGCATGCAAAGCGGGTCTCAGCTGCATAATTGAATTTTCAGAAGTTAAATCCTGAAACCGTTAGATCAGAGACCCACATTATCCTCACGCTAAATTGGTAAACGCTTTTGAGTGAAATGGGAAAAAATCGGGACTTTATAACAGCTTAAAATCGTTTATGAATTTGAAATTCTACATAGTTGTCATTATTAACAAATGTCATGACAGCTGTCTTTTCTTTGTTATTGATTAGTTGGTGGAAAATCACTTCTCACTAAGAATCTCATATGGTAAGATATTCGTAGGGATATCTGAATAAATTTTGATTTAGGGGAGATTCGTAAACGATTTTTGCCAAAAAGTAATTCAAGATTAGGGAGTAATAAGTGGGTGCTTCTTACTGCAAGATCACTCAAAAATGTAATCATAAGATGGTTCAAAAACATTCCGTTCGAAAAGAGTAAAGAAAAAAATATTTAGTACTAGTAGGTCTTTCATGGTTGTCTAACTATAATAAACGCCAATGTCTATAGTGTGAATTAAGTTAATGAAGCTTACCTTGCAAAATATCAGCAAACCTATGGTAGCTTTCAAGTGTTGGTGAAAGACACTATGGTCGAATTCTGTGACGTCATCCTTTCCCTCTCGGGGGATTATTTTTGTCTTAGACTGGTCGACTAATTTAAGTTGAAAATGTTGGAAACCTGTTAATGCTTTGTTTAGTGGACTATTTGAATTTATTATGCACGACGCAATAACGTTTTCCATGTTTCCATATGATTTAATATTATTGTCACACTTTTTCCTGTGACTCCCCGTATTTATTCTAATACATATTGATTCAGGCAAATGAATACGGGAAAATGTAACTTTACGTGTAGATAGCCAATCTAGCATAAGTTCAGAACTAATTCTTGGCATTGAGTTAAAGCTTGAGAACATGGGAATCCTTTCTTTGTCATTTAACATTGATGAGAGTGCGTAAGAAGATCTTGATAGTGTTTTAGATTTTCTTAGTTTATACTGGTTATTTGCAGTTACATCATCTGTAGGAAATAATGAATTGTTTGAGTAAAGACGATAGCGTACTATATTGTGCTCTTCTGGAACTTGGCAAAAGCGTCTTGATATGTTTGTAGTAAGATGTGAAAATTTGAAAAGTGGCGCTTTGATTTCAGCCTGAAATTTCAAAATAATACTGAACGTTTACGATAGTAATTACAAAGTTTACTAAGAGTATTTTTTAACAGTCGTACTTGTCAACATGTGCATTCGGGTTTTAGTTCACACGATATTAGAAGCCATTTCTTTTGTTTCGTATTCTCTAATGGAGTTGTCCTAATTTTAAGAAGACTTACAGCACATTTTACAGAACTGTTCCATTAGACAAGCTTGTGATTGCAGATTTTTGTTTCAAATATTAGAATACACAGCGAATAGTTGGTAGGTAGATATCGATATATTATGAATAAAGAGACATGAAGCTTTCACTAGTGTTATGTGGTGTTATACGTATGTAAGAAAAACTGTTACGTTCTTACTGATATTATTATATCAGCATGTAATAGTTATTTGCCGCTATATTTATGACCGAAAATTCCAATTTATTAAGATACATATTTTTTCCATGTCCGATAGTAATTACCAGCTCACGATATTGCAACTGTTTAAGTCATAAGTATCAGGTGAACATCTTATTAAATTTGTCGGGTTCTGGATGGTGCTTTTTTCTCATCCCTTCATTGATTTTATATATGAGTATTTGGTTCTGTAATTAGAACTATGTTTAATCATACAGGCTCTCTGTTATCCATAATGGTGATGGAATGATCATTACAAGTAAATATGAAGTATTTGATATCCACTTCGGGACTCAAGTCGAAGTTTTGAGCATATGAATTTTACAAATTCGGTTCTTTTCACCATCCGATTGGCAATGAGATACGAGAGGAAGTTATACGATAAAAGACGAGTTACTCATTAGTAATATAGTCTTAATACATAAATCTCACATGCCCCTGTACCCATTTATTCAGACATGATAATAAGTAAGAACATGTCAGAATGCGATCAATTTTGTGTACGAGGTTGGTCATGATGGTTTTATTACTTATGTTTTTCGACGTCATAGGTGAAGAAAACTGGTCATAACTTTAGTACCATATAGTTTCCAAGATCGTATAGTAGTTTTAAGTGCCATTAGACTATGAAGTAAAGATTTTTAATTCCCTCCATCTCTTTGTTTCATATACAGTATCTATTGTGAATCCTGAATATTTAGACTTGTGTTCTTATTAGTAAAGCTGGCAAATAAATCTCTAGCTTTGTAACTTATATTACAGTATATGCTTTTACTTCCACACTAGTTTCATATCAGATAACATTAAGATTAAAAGTAAGGCTCTGAAAATTGCTTGAAAAACAATTCAAGTCATTATTTTACTCAGAAGAGTATTATGTGAAGTGAGCGGAAGTTATTTAATCAAAATGTGTTTTGTCCGCAATAAAATTGTGTATACACTTACATATCTGTCCCAAAAGCATCAGTGTCAAAAAAGTAACCGATTATCTATCTATACCAGTGGATATTAAATTGCACTGTGAAAATCTCAACCAGTGCATAAAGACTTACCTCGATTATTATGTTCTCAGAGTCTCTTTTTAATGAACTTAGTCGACGTCGTTCGTGAAAATCAATATTCTTATTTCTCAAATTCATATTTTCTTGACTTTGGTGTCTAATTTGAGTCGAACTCCAAGAATTAGCTTTTGTAGGAGTTGATTGAAGATTTTTGAAATTGGCAGCATTACATACTATTGCTGCTCTACTGGCACTTGCATGTCTTTGACGTTTCGGCGTTGTGTTTGTTGCATTAGCTGCACGTCGGTACCGTTTAGGCAGTTTATTTGGTTTTATGGAATTATATTGATAAGATTGTGTCTCCACGTTTTCTTGATTGTTTAACAGTGAACTTTCAGGATGCGAACTGTGAATTTTCATAAAGTTGACCAACTGTAAAGTATAATTCCATGGTAGGTAAAAGTTAGCTTCGTGGCTTGAAGTTATTGACCAGTTCAGATTTGTTATTCCATCATAAATTTTACCAATTAATTCACATTCTGAACTTATATCCAATGGATCATAACAGCAAGCACATCTTAAATAGTTGCTAAGTTGATTTTTCATATTATTTGAATTGGGATCAGATTTTGGAAATAGTTTCTGATATTTACGTCTGGTAATTAGTTTACGGTGATAACGATTTATAGTCGGTATTCTCAGTAAGGCAGGTTTTAGAATGTACCTGCAAACAAACACACGAAAGCTCTGTTAATATCGGTTTATAGTTTATTTAGTAATATTCCGTTTTATTATTTATCTAACATAACATAAGATGTAAGTACTATCCTTCACTAACAATGCACTAGAAATGACTGTTTAGTCTCTCGGTTACCTTTTTATAACATGTCATTTTATGATATGCTGAACGCAACAAAAAGATTTCAATATCAGAAGATATAGCAATTAACTTCGGACCTCACAGATTCATTTTCCCAATCTATCCTAGTTAAACTAAAAAGTTCCTAGAAAGAGATAGGTTGGTTTGTATGTCTTTTATCGGATATGGGCACCAAATTTGAGTGTTATTTAGAAATTACGTAAATGGCATTAATATCGAAGTGTTAGTTTCAGATACTAAGTTTTGTAAGTAAAAAAGCTATTTAAAATTACTCTTACCCATTTTCAGACATAGCAAAACTGTTTCGTAATTCGTCCATTTGATTAAGTTTCACAAATTGTTGGCGAACGCTAACTGGTTTCTCCAAGTCAAATGTGGCTACTGAGATATCCAGTCCATATGGGATTAGTTGACACCCAACAGAACGGAAAAGCTGGTTTGAAGGAAATGAGCATTAAGAAAGAAGAGATCAATATTTAGGCATCTGAATAATTTGGGCAATAAAATACTTTTAGTTCAGTTCTACTAAAAGCCAATACCTGTTTTCTAAAATCCAGAAATTTATTCATTAATTATAATGTTTAATTCGGTACAGTACATCAGCAATACAGTTGTTATTATGCTATGGTTATTCAGAAGACACGTCATAAATCTGTGGCTTGGCGAAATCGCCATGAAAATAATCTGTGAAGTTGATTTTAATTACAAAAGCATTTCAATAGGAAATGCTAGGCTTCAGTTGATCTTTTAGAATTTAATTTTTTTCCACTAGTTTACTTATGTACAGACTAAATAACTTGACAGTTAGGAATCAGAATAGGAATACAGAGATCGGCCATATTTAGCGATTACCAAAAACTGTTTCAGCTTGTTTTAGTCATCGGCAAAGCAAAGAAAAATTTAAATATTATCGGCGTTATTATCGACAACTTTCATAGACCTCCAGGCTTCTAAATAGACTACTCCAAGAATTTGGAACAGATTGTTATGTACTAAGTAACTAGGCCACACAAAATCCCATGTCGAGTCAAAAGTTTGGATGGAACATCAAATGTTGTGACCCCATACAACACACGGTAGAGATGACTTAGTAATGAATATGTACGATCTTCTTCTGAGCAGACTGGGTTCGAGGAAATATAACAAAACGGACTAAGAACATTGTCATGTCTTCCCTCAGCTATATGTATGTGACAGTCAGTGTTTAAGTCCGCTGCTAGTTGAGTCTAAAGTGCGTCCCTCTGTCACACTGTGCAGACCATGTATGCATGCTATAAACCGGTTAACGAAGAGCAGGCTGAGTTCTGCCGAGATCACAGATAAACTGTTCACCTCAATCGTATACTTGGAAGGTTTCAGATACATTGCAGGCGAAAAACCGTTACATCTATTGATAACACGACAGCATTCGAACTATTGGGCATTACAGAGCTCTAAAACTATTTGATTAAAAGTGGGTATATCTAAGATGCTCAGTAAAAAAACATGCATCAACATCTTAAGTAGAGTGAAAATGTCTAACTGACTCCTCACTGTTCCGAATTAGCAGTGAGATTAAGCGAAGCCACTTAAGGTCTGGTATGAGTTTTATTATGAGTGATGCTATGCCCACAACTAGTTAGCCTATTATTCTTGCTGATTGGTTTTAACCACTTGTCATTAAATATAAATGCATTGTAATGAGCATAGTGAACACAGTGTGAACTCAGATCAGGGAAGATACAATCCAAATAAAGAGGTAATAATAAATATGTTTTTATGATATTTCCATGAGTAAAAATTGTATTTCTGATGTTTCGTGACTTGACATAAGTCACTTCTTCAGAGTAAATAAATAACGGAAATAAAATTAATACAAGTTTAAACAGTACCAAACTAACTTGACATTTACATGTTCAGACCTATTATGATTTTGAGTGGACTGAAAATATTCTGCTGTTTTCTCTACTATCTGAACTTGTGTTAATTTTATTTCGATTGTTTGTTTACTCTGAAGATGTGACTTGCATGAAGTTGCAAAACGTTTGAAATACAATTTTCCACTTATTGGGGTATCACAACAAATATATAATTAATTTTCTACCAAACGCTCAATTTATCTTCAACTATCAAGTCCAACCTTGATGTTGATATCTTCAAATAAGGTGGTAGACAATGACAGGAAAAAGGCCAACAATAATCAATCAGTACTGAGGTTGACAGAACAAACTGTCAGTTATATATCGAGAAATTCGAATACTTCACTTCTACCTGAAGTTTTTGCTGATGATGTTGTTCATAAGAACAATGAAAGCTCTTTAACCATCTAGCTCAGACAACAAAACTCCACCTGAACTACAAATCTGCTCCACCATATCAACAGTGTAAACTCAAACAATGCGATAAAGTTAGTCAGTTAGACAGCTATCCACAAACTAACTAAGCTATAGTTTATTCTCACAGTAAACTGAAACTAAAGTCAGCAATATTATGACTTGGGAACGAGGTTTACGATATTTTATGATGTTTTTCCCGATGATATGGTTCATAGGCTCACTTACTTTTCATCGAATTTCACAACACCGGTGAAATCAGTTGACTTTTGTTGAGAAACCCGTGCGTACAGTTCCACAGGCTGAACGATAACGTAGTGACAGCCTAATATGACGTCGGAAAAGGTAGACAGTGATACTTTAACAACTGAAACACAATTTTAGAAATTTTTTCGTCTCAGTTAAGGCTCAGTTTGTCCACAATATCTTATTGTAGATTTTCGTAAACTTTTTGAAAAGAATATTGCCACCCAACTAATTACGGATAGTTAAACGATATTCATGTTCGACAATAATCTGAAGTACAAAAAATTTGGTTAAACAGCTTATATCCTTCTTGGAAGGTTCCATTATTTTGTCTTCATTATGAATCAAATAAATGGTGGGGCAGTCATGTCACTAAACCTACTTATGTCATGAGTTTTTATTTAACTTGCATAAAAATTTATAGGCTGATCAGTTGAGTAAACTTTGGCAACTCTGGCAACGAATTAGCTTATCAACAAAATTCAGTAGACATAAAAAGCTAGATATACTGGTCGGCTACCCATATTGTTGGAAGTAAAGAGGTATAAAATACGTAAACCAGTAACTGAAAGCCATAAATCTTGAACTTACCTGATGAACATCCCATGACTTTTCCTGATCCGACAAGAAAACACAGGTTAAACGTTCTTTATTGTATCTAAGGTGAAATGTAAAAAGATATCAGTGGAAATAAAAATAGAAATAATAGAAAACAATAAATAAAATTTTAACTAGTCATTACCACTATTTTTGATGAAAATTAATTTTTGTATTTATTAGTTAACTGGTTAAAAGGTTTTCATGAAAAGCAAAACAAATCTGGAAAATTTAATATGACTTGTGAGCATATACAAAGGTCTTTTAGAGATTTCTTGGTTGTTCTTGGGAACTGACATAGTCTGTAGGATAATAGAAACTAGGTAGTGGTAAACATTTGTTTAGTCACACTTAAAATCTCTTTACCAATCTACACTCATATGTGATTGATCTAAAGAAGATGAATATACGCAAAATAATCGGACAATAAATACATCAGGAAACTATACCTTGCTAGTGATTTTGTCATCTGCTTTCTAGATAGTAAATAAATTAAATCATCTGATGAAATATTAGTAATTCTTGATCCAATAAACCATCTTAATGAATCTACCCAATAATTTTTTGTAGACTCTAGATCACTTTCTTGACTTTCGATAGTTGATTGTTTTTGTAAAATATTGCGACCAGTATTTTTATCTTGATGGAATAAGGCATTGGTTAGTGATGTAATTGAATGACGAACACTTGATAGATGTGTTTGAAGACTTTTCTTGACATTGGTTGTTATCGGTGATCCCATACTTTTCGATTTATTCACCATGTTTTCCGATGAACTACTGCTGATGCTGTTATCGGTGCTACTTTTACTTCTATAAGATTCTGTATCTGATGATAATGATGTTTCTACAGTTGGTGATGAATCTATTGAAATGCTATTATTGGACAGTGAATCAGTTGATTTGCTACTTGCTTCACTTTCACTCCATGAATTTCTTAATTTACTAATGCTATTTGAATGAAAGCGCGGTACATAATTTTCAAACGATTTTTGTTTTTCGCTTGAAAATTTATTCCTCAACTTTTGTATACCATCACGGAAGTAACTTAACTTTGTTTGTCCAGTTTGATGTTGAGGAACTTCATGTGTAGGTGAGCCTTTGTCACTACGACTGCCACTACTACATGAACAATGACCACAACTAGAAGTAGGACTCCGTTTATGTCCACTTTCTGTAGATTTACGTGATTGTCTTTTTGAGGTGTGACTATTTAAATCTTTTGTTTGTTTAGGATTTTGAGGCTTGGATGATTTACGACCACTGTTGCTATTATTCTGCTTCAATTCTTTTTTCATAGGTAAAGGTGAAGTTTTTGTAATGAAATCATTATAATTTTGTTCTTTATCTTGATAAGTACCTGATTTAAGAAGGGAATAGAAAAAATAAACCAGTAAAATGTTTTACATTGAGTAGTTAACAATGCAATAATAAGTAATGAATTGTTCACTGAGTTGAAGTTTAGACCCAAAAACATTTTTAGACTAAAATCAATAAAGATTCAACATGTCTCATTAAAATTAACTATGGAATATGGTAGTAGCTCACTGTTGAACAAACTTTTTTAAAGTTTTATGAATGTAAATGACACAATAACTTTCAGTCTAGTCATTAAGGAAATTGTGAGTATCTTTTACGAAATAAGTGGCTAGAAGAAAAACAATAGTTAAAAATCTTAAACCCTTTTCGCTATCATTATGAAATGAGAGAAGGTATAGTATGGAGGTTTTTATTAACATATGTTATTCTTTAATGGAATATTTAGAATGCAGCATCAAGTGAATTAAAGCTGTTCAAAATAGAGGCCATGACTTATGATGACTTGTATAATCAGATTCTTTAAATCAAACCAAACCAAAGCTAAAGCACGAATTTCAAGTTTCACTTGAAAACATACGGCATTATCGTATTCCAATTTTTCCCATGGTATAACTAAACATATTGCACACATCTTGGTTACTTTGTAAATTATAAAAAATACCCTATGAATTACAACCTCCACATACAGTATATCTAAATACTTGTAACATCTTTATAATACGTTATCAGTACAAAGATATGCGTGAATTATTGTAATCTATTACATGGTGAGTGTGGACTGTTATGGATTTAATAAATAAAACTCCAGTGTTTTTGCTAGTCATACATTCAGATAATTAGATCTAGTTAGTTTTTGTACTGAGATAAAGGAGATCGAAATTTTTCTAAACTCATTTACTTGCAGGTCTTTTGTTTCCATCAGCATCCAATCGATTATTCAAATGTTGCGGGTGTTTCTGGTTGTTTAGAGAGTCCGTAGATACATCACGACATTCAGAATTTCGCGGTGAAGAGTTAACTGATAGATTGAATTTTGATACAGATGCATTTGATAAACGGCGAGCATATCTTACTGTTGCAGCCAATAGAGTGTCTTTTGAACTGATATTCAATTCTTCTATTTTTTTTGGTGAAGCACATATTCGATTTTTAAACCATCCTTTGTCTTGCTTTGTTGTAATTTTATCTGTTCGATGATCCAGTTTTGTTGGTTGAGCCTCTGAAGCATTTGACCCTAATTTATTAAATATAATGAGATAGATAAGTAAAGCATAATTATCAAGGGCATAAATAACCACATTTATGTGTCATAAATATCACTCAACTATTTCAGTTGTATCAAACTAATAGTTTTAAATAAATTCAGTAACTCGAACTGATTGAATTAAATGTTAGAGATACGACCAAATTAGCTACATCGTTTGTCATTATCTAGCTATAATTAATCAGTATTTGATTAATTCACCATAAGCCTTAAAGTTGTGTTCTTCAGTTCTCCAGAGAATTGATCACGGAATATTTATTTCAGATTTTATTAGTAAAGCTTCTTTTTCAAATAGTTACCAGCGTTAATTTGAATTATTTCATCACCATCATCATAGGGTTGTGGCGATTGTTCAGTCTTGACTGAGAATATGAATCAGTAAATGTTAGACCACTACTGAAGACCTGGAGGTACTGGATGGCCGTCTCGTTCTAATATGGGACTTCTCAGCAGTGTGCACCCACAATCCCGCACGCGGAATTCGAACCCAAGATCTACAGTCTCGTGCGCGAACGCTTAACCCCTAGACCACTGAGCCGGCATCCAACAGTGTTAATGTCTAACCTCAACCAAACCACTTCCTACTTCATATCGCTGGACTATATATGTGCTGATTGTTGATATCAATGCCGTTTCTCTAGATAAAGTATTAGGAAAATGGATTTCATCCTGATATTTCAAACATAAGGCGTTATCTATACTTTGCACTGAAAGGAAATGTATGTATCTCGTTTCCTTTAAAAGAACACGTAAATTAGAAGAAACATTGAACTCACATCTACATGAAACTGCTTAACAAAAAAGGTATTTGTGAGGAAGAATCTAATTCATTGATTTTTTTTCAGTTTTAAATACTTTTGTTTAGATTGTGTTGCAAGTAGCATTAACCGATATTCTATAAATTTATATTTTGGCACTTGTCAACATTTCTTAGCACGGCTTGTCAGATTTGTTGTGATGGACGCGAACTCTTCAATATTAGTCTAGATTAAACAGTCCAGAAATCCTGTTTGACTTGGTTATTCCTAGTATTTTTAGCATGATTCTGCTGGAGATGGTCGGTCTCAAAGTCCTATATTCATATAGATTAATAAACCATGTCTCTGTGTGCCCTTTTTTGTCTTGGCCAGCTTCGGGGACATTATATCAATATTCAGCTCCATTATAAATTAAAAAGTTCGATAAAAGCACAATTCTCCTCCGATATTTTCGTAATCTAAATTTATTTAACTAAAATACTGTGATTAATTTCTCATTCATACACAGAACCAATAAAACAGGTTTGTTTAGACTGTTCATATTGTGATTTACAACACGAACCTACCTTAGCTAAGGAAGCGATAAAAGCTAGTGGGAATCTCTGACTTGTAGAGTTCGGCCATATCAGGAGTGAGACGGGCAGTACCGATGACAGCGAATGATGATCGTACATCATCACAAGCTGAAAATGCAAACCGCTGAATCCCAGTTGTATATATACTTTTGAATATGACCATTATGACTACATTTACTTGAACAATCACTCCTCTTAACCTTTATTAAGTTATTACAATTATCACAGATTGAAATCATGAATCAGTTGAAGCTAGACCACCATTACAATTAATTGAAATGAAATCTACACTTAAATCAATCGGTTATCCTGGGGATTATACATGTAATTCCAAAACCTCGGCTCACCTGAATTCGCTTTTATTATTGAAATGTTCGAATCAGGGTAAAACCCAGGGAAATGGTATGCTAATCATTTTACTAAGCTCATTAAAACAACAGGATAGCAAAACATTTTTATTTTACTATTTACTATTGAGGTTGGTATACTATAACAAACACGAATTTTAATAATGAAAATAGATAATAACTCCGATTGCTGTAATATAAAATAGAGAACAGTGGAGTAATTTTTGTGCTCAACAGTTACTGAGGGTAATAATTTACTTCATCGAGTTCAATGTAACTAATTTAGTCTTGTAATTAGGAACCCATGTGACCAATGATAAATTATCGTAGACATATAACGTGAACAAAGAGAACTCTGCTTATCTAATTCATTCATCTAAGTTACACACTTCAATTATGAATAATGAGCAAAAAATGTGTACTAAAGAATTTAATCTTTGTTTTAAAGAATTAATCCACTCGAATAATTTTTAAATAGAATGTAGATATATTTTTTTAACCCTTTCAGACTTACATGTATATTTTCTATTTGAAGATGGGGTATTATTTACACCTGATGTTGATCTTTTCTGGCTAGTCATACTTCCACATACCTCGGTGACTAAGCGTTTAAGTAATCTTCTTTTCCTATCTCTGTGTTTTAGCTGAGCCTTCCGAGTAGTGATCAAGTTAAATAGAGAAGTAAGAAGTTCACATTCCTCCAATTTTCTGTTTGGCTGTCGATCATTTTTGTCAAGATTAACAGAACTCATATTTTTGAAACTTCTTGAATCATGTATTGGTCCTTCGGATTTTCTTCTAATCTGTAGCCTTCGTAAAATATTAGATTCTATGTGCCTACCATCGCGATCCACTAGATCGGACTTGGAGTTCCGAAGCAAATACTGATGGTGTAATGCTATACAAGTATCAGGAGGAAAATCTGGCGTTGGCAATACTACAAGTCTGGCCAGACGTGGGTGTAAATAGTTTACTTCATCTTGGCTAGAAAATGTGGCATCTCGATCAATTATTTTATTTGTATACATCCCGCAACATTTTGGAAACCAACCATTTGAACTATGATCCTCTGGTGTTACCGATTTGTTAAGTATTTTGTTCAAGCTCAACCTGTGCTCTACTGGTGGACTGAGTTGACTACTACTGTTGGTAGACGCTATATCTTGACTTGCACTCTAAAAAATATAAACCTTCGTTAGTAGATCGGCATAACGTTAAATGGTCGGTAAAGGTAGTGTTATCTGTGAATTTTTTTTAAGTAGTATGACTCTACCTTAAAAATACTGCATATTGACCGAAGATTACTGTCGGGCGAACGATAGTTTCACACAGGAATGTCGTCGTTTTGGAAACCAGTAAAACAAGGTAACGCTGAGTACTTGTTTCATTCTAACCTGAGGCCTCTTACCAATAAGTATGCAAGGTTCTCTTGTGATCAAATCCATTACGTTAACGTCTAGTAATAATCGCGATATTATTTGGCCACTTCTGAGAGATTTGGGAGTTTTATTTCAAAATCAACCAATTCGTGATAGTTTAGTATTTAATATATCCTTAAACCTTCTGTTCTTCATCATTCTGGATAAAATACTTACCACACCAGATTGATGTTGGTTGTGATGAATAATTGTGAAATCTTATTTCATAAACGAGAGGTGATTGCAGAGTTTATATAAAGAGAAATTTGATTCATTAAGTTCTATAGAACGAGAATTCAAACGGAAATTAACAATCATTTATATTCACTGTTATCACATTCAACGTGGCTGTATACGCCATCTTATTTTATTTCATAGTGATATACAATAAATTCAGTTATTGAGTCGATAAAAGTTTATCAATGTTTTTATCTTCTCATTGGCATTAAGTCCCAGTGTAAACACCAGCACTGGAATGGAGGTACATTTAAATGACTGGTCCGAAGTGATAAGAAATGCTTGTCCTGAATTTCACCATCATCCATTGACTATCCTTACTAAAGTCCTATGTCATGACAAAATGATATCAGTTCATGCATTCAGATCCATTCAGATCAAATTATAGTTATTTGAAGTGTACCGTTCGGAAAAAGAAAATCGGTTACAAAGTGGAGAGAAACGTAGCTAATTTCAGTTCATTTTGCTATAACTGAAGTTTTAATTAAATTGTAGTCATTTCTGTGAACAGAAATTAGTTGAACAACTAAAGTTGTTCTATCTATATAAAATAGATATCAAGCAAATACTTAAGAAAGTTTAGTAAATAGAACAAGTTTGAATATATATATATATAGGTCACTTTTATGTAAAAAAATGAATGCTCTATTAGAAAATTCTTGCGAGTGATCAATTTCGAAACAACGCAACCGGGCTTTCAATGTACTTTATATAAAAAAAGTTATACAAGCGAAACAATAATTAAAATTTTGTAAAAGTACTTTGATCGTATTTAGCCTTAGTTTGTAAGTCTTTCGGAATGTTCATAAATTATCTCATCCTGTTTAATGGTTCTGGAGTCACTTACTCACTACTAAAGGCGACTTCCATGAATGTATTTAGTTAAAAAGGTTTTAAGTAGTGCAAGAAAACTTAAAATTATTATTAGCTCATAACATTTCAAAGATTTGACGTTAGTTAAATGACAAGATTGAAAAAATTAGGCGCAGTGGCTTGAGGTGATTTCAGAAGATAAGTTGAGCCTTGACTGTTATATTAAACTATGTGACTTACGATTACTGAACTTGCTTTCAATAGCTTTCTGGTTAAACCAATAACAGAAAGGAAGCATAGAACTGGTTTCACACTCAGGTTAATGATGATAATCTTACCAATGTATGATCACAGAAAAAACTTCTATCACAGAATTTGAGAAATTGTAGTGATATTCTCAGTATATAAAGATTTATCTTGTAAATTTTTCGAAGAACGTATACCAAACGTTTTTATTCAGTGATTAGCTGCTCTTCAAACTTATCTGTGAATGTTTATAGTCGGTCATCCTTCTATGATAGCTTTATATCGTCTAATATATTTGAGGTGCGAATTCTATAATGATCGCTTCTCAATAATCTGAGTGAAGAAGAATGTACGAACTACTGCAGTAGTGTTTTGGGATTCCTCATTAATTAGATTCACGATAAGCTGTAAACATCTTGTGGAAGCATGTAAGCGCACACTGTTGACATGCATAATTATTTAAACAAATCGAAAACACGAATTTTCATGGAAATGAATACAAGTTTGAAAACAATTTGGTCTAGAATTTTGAACAGGCTGCTGTGTAAGTATTTCCAAACACATATCTACAGAATTCATAAAATATATATAATTTAATATTCTCCCACGCTTCATTAAAGAGTGCAGAGATTAATGTCAAAATGTTCATCAACTATTGACAGAATATTTTAAAATCCTCATAATTTAGAGTCATTTTCACCTTTGTTTGATTCACTTGATAACAGTTTTCCAAAAAGGTTGTTGATAATTTTCATCTTCATGAAAACTCAACAGAACTTCGGAAAATTAATGGAAATTAGTAATAAATTCTTCCACTTAGCAGAAGAAACTGATTGAAGTATATATTCGAATTGATATCATTACACTAGAGTATTAGTCGATTTATTTATTACTTCATTCATACGATTTAATAAATCTACTCATTAGTGTAATTATTTAATGTTCGTTGGTTGGATACCATAAACAACAGCCTACTGTGGGAGAGAACAAACCAGCTTCCAGCTGAAGATGAAATTAGGAAAAGACTCTGGAGCTGGATAGGAAATACGTTACGGAAATCACCAAACTGCATTACTAGATAAACAACAACTTGGAATCCTGAATGAAAACAGAAGAGAGAAAGGCCAAAGAACGCAATGCTTTAGGAATTAAAGGCAGATATGAAAAGGATGAATAGCAACTAAAAAGAATTGAAAAGGATCGTCCAGGACAAGAGAATGCTGATGGGAGGCTTATGCTTCTTCATGAAGGGTAACAGGCGTAAGTAAGTAAGTGTAATTACTTAATCTCAATATCAAGGACATTTTATGCTAGGTTTACCAAAAATTACTTTCAAAATGGTAGTGAAAAATTTCTAACACAAAGTAGAGAGAAAATGGTTTTTTTTTCTTCTTCCTCTTCAAAATATTGGAAAGGCGTATCACTAATACCGAAAATGTAAGCTAAAAAATTAAATACTATTGGGGATATACTTATCTTACTTTTTGTTCACCTTCAGGATTTGTAATAAATACAGTTAATGGCGAAGCAACTTCTGACTTTTTCAAAAGCGTTGTTTGAGTAAAGTGACTCTGTGGCTATACATTAATGTATAAAGAATAAAACGTTTAATTTATCGAAAAACATTATTAGTACTGTCATTAGGTGAACAAAATATTAGTACTGATGCGATTATAACACAAATAAGTCATACTTAATATTATTGATATTTTATGCGAATCTTTTAAATAAATAAACAATTAACCTTGATTGTTTAAAAGATATGTTAGTTTGTAACTTATTTTAAGTTAATCTTAAAGATGTTCTCGTATTGATTAGTTATTTCTCTTGTAAAAATTCCTGATTATTAACCATGTGGTCATCATCCTTGGGTAGTCAGTTTCTGCAGTTACATTGATCAAACTGCTTAACAAACCTGATCTACAATAAACTTTTAAATTTAAAGCTTAGTGTGTTCAGTGAGAGACATATTACATGATTTTATCGTCTTACAATCAACTTCGTATATCGTTCGGGTGGAATGTTCTTATAGGTTGTTAATTATGAAGTTAGTTTTCACCTTTCAACTAAGATCGTCTTTATTGAAAACGCAATTTGTGATGAAAATTATCTTTAAATTTCACTAACCACCGATGTCAACAATTCGTTCGACTATCTTTCCAAATGTCTTTTCCTGCTCTATATATTTGAAACTGCTGAAATGATAATCATAAATTTGTCTAATCACATAAATATATTCTGACGATCATACTAACCGGAATAAAACTGATGAGCAAGCACTTTTTTCGTTTGTAGTATAAACAAGGTTTACGTTAAAAAAGATATTTAAAATATAGACTAAATTTATGACATTTTATTTATCATTATTGTGAATAACTGAATAGTAAAAACGTTAATATTTAATGTTCGTTTATTATACGACAATTATTTTTTTTATTTTTTTCCATTTTTATATTTTCTGTCATTTCCACTTAGAATTGGTTATATTGTTAGTAGACTAAATAAACTCTAATGTTTGTAATGTTGTTAAATATTGATGATGCAATGAATGGTGATTTTGTTGGGTTTAAATATTTTTTTAATTTTATTGGAATAATATTTCGTTATTAAGTAATGGGACTTTGGGAAAGTTGTGTAGTTGTTTTTATTATTTTCAATAAACTATAGGCATATTTGTCTTTCAAATAGAAATAAGGGTGGTACATTTAGTTTCTTGACGAATTTGTTTTCTATTCAGCAAAAAAAATGAGAAATATTCATTTAATATCAATTTTCCTGATAATTAGATTATTAAAATCAGGGTCTCTGATGTCAAGCAACCAGTTAAAAGTGGTTTATGAGGGTAAATTTTTGCTGCATTGTTAAGAATGAGAGAAATTTTTCATAGACTGTACTTAAAGTAGTATTAAGTAGTTGCAAAAAGCATTGAAGTAGGGTCTCATAGTTATTATATACTCACCATTGACAGTCGTATTTTGATACAGTGGCTCAGTGGTAGCTTACAGCTAACTCTACTCTCGGTTTAAAAATCGAATGTACCTGCTTCGTAATTGCATCAGACTATTTTATTGCTCAAGAAGGTGGTCTGGAGCAGATTGAAACATACTTAAAGGTATTATAAGATCTTTCAGCTCGGTGAACAGGTAACGGCAATCATGTGATATGACTATACTGCAATAACGGTTTATTTCCAGTAAGCGCTAAATTAAAAAAGGAGAGACATTGCTCAGTATAAAGACCCTCAGAATCAACTAGGCGATGGACTCAAATGAACCACGTTGTTATAAGCCATCATTGGATAGGTTCAACAGAAGACTATCACTCACTCTTGTGCTTGTTTTTAGACTCTGATCATGTTCTAGTTGGGACATGAAATTATTCGTGTTCTGTTGGACGCATGAAAGCCACAGCATGATCTCATGGATTTCAGCTTAACAAAGAAAAAGTCAAGAATATATTTCGCGAAGAACTAGAAGAGAAGTTAGTTAATTATGTGAGTGTTCACTCCAAAGTAGGTGAACTGGATACACAGATATGTGAGAAGACAGCAGTAATATCTACCAATGACTTAAATCAAACGGTCAAAAAACCAGCGGATTTCAGAGGCATTTGCTGAACTGATAAATGTTCAGAAGCCCATTCACCAGGTTCTGAACACAATGAGGAGCATAGGAAACCTATATATCGACTGTCTGGAGGTCTACGTAACGACTGCAATCAGTGATAAGGAGAAAAATTAAAAGAGATGGAAGAGACAGAAGTGATACATAACAAAATTCAGCTTTCCCGATCGATCAAGGAAACAAGCATAAAAAATTCGACTATTTCGGAAAAAGATGAGACGATGATCCATTCTCAGTGCAGGAGATTATAGCTATGAGTGTGCTACATAAAACATAGTTCCACTAGCCACCAGATATCTATTGTTACCAACGGGATGTCGACATAAGCTTCCCAATTTCTAAAGGATTTGAAAAAGCTATAGTTATTTTAAATTGGGTGGAAGTGGGAAGTGATGATAGATTAACCTCAGAGATTTTTAAGAATGATGTACCAATTTTAGAAGTCAGATTGGTTGAAATATTATGCAAATTCTGGAGACTATATTTAATATCGTCCGGATTTCTTTCTCATAGACCGTCTCAATTTATAAGAATGGACTGGAGTCCTCATGTAATAACCAATGAGGTATTAATTTGTATCTGTAATGCCAGCCACAATAGCCATCCGAATCTTAACCGGGGCTTATGGACAGAAAACATAGGAGAACTAGGTCGGTTTCACATCTGAATGTTGATAGAACAATAGAACATTCACTTCCATTAGGTTTTGAAACACTGACAAACTTACTAGCTATCAACTATAGTTGTATTTCTGAACCTTAAGGGAGTGTTCAACTCCATAGATCGACAAGTTTTATGGTAATGTCCGTCACTGAAAGGTGTACCAACGAAATAAATCAAAAACGAACAGAATCCCCATTCGGGCATTACTAGTAGAGTCAAAGATTATGGTCAAGCGTCAGTAGAATTGACAACATCAAGTAGTATTCGTCAGGATTGTTCACTTTATTTTTATTTAACTCCGTCATATTGTTACGCTCTCATCCTTTGAATTTTAGGAATTGAACTTATACCGAGAGATCTACTTGTTAACCTAGAATACGTAGTATCATTTGGCTAAGGTGATGATCATCCTGAGCAACAATGCCAGGAGTTTGGAATGCGTTTCTGCCTCTTTAAATAAAAAAATTGCCCCATGACTGGTATGTTTTAACGTCTAAGTTGATGATGGGGATTTAAGTAGTTAAGTACCTCAAACACTTCCTCTATCGTGAAAATAGTATCAGCCCCAGTGGATCGATGTTTGACAAAATATTAGAACAGATTTAGCAAGTTCGATTGGGGTTTGGCAACTAGCGAAGGTGAGATATCCGTCAGCAAAGCAAAATACGAGTGTGATGCTCAGTAGTTTTCTCTTTTAATTTTATGATTGTGAAACATGATCTTCAAAGATAAATATATTTGTAGGCTACTAGCATTTAATCATAGGTGGCTTCAAAGCATTGATCAAGTATGTAAGGACTACTAAGTTGGCAACAATAAGGTTATACGCAGCTTATTCCATGGATATGTCAAATAGACTAATGAGGTAGTGAATCTTCCTCGATTAAGGTGGTTGAAGCATAGATCATGTATGCTCAATCAGTGCCTATCTCGATGTGCGATGATGGCTGGTAAAGAATTAGGACCGGTGAAATATAGGAGAGGGGGATAAAATAACGAGGAGACAATCCATGGAAGCTTGACTGTTAAATTTGGGCTTTGTAGGTAAATGCAGGCTACCTGGTTGGAATCCGTGTGATTATCATCCTCAGTGTCTAGTGACTTTGAATGACATGGCTCAGAATCATTCACGATTGCATAGATACATACTTGGTTGAAAACCCTGAAATAAAGTGATATAAATAATTATATTATGGTAGCTTACAAACTGAGTTTCCCTTGACTCTGTGACGAATTTATAGATAATGTATTATTAGGAATGGCTAAGATATAATTTTTTTATGAAACAAATACTTCGTCGAAAAGAATGAAGATGTTTCAACAAAGAAATGTTTCTTTTCGACGATATTGTTTTTGAAGCTGTAGAGGAGTTTCAAAGATAGTTAAATTTATTTAAGTAAAAGCCAATGAAAATGATTCATCTTTTTGGTCTAACAAATAATTTATGAGTTTCAGTCTAGAAATTCTAGTCGATGGACAATCATGATTATATTTGAGATTGAATGTAGACAAGTGCAGAATCATACAGTTAATCAATTAAAATTCAGTCATCCATCTTTTAGTAGCAGTTAGTTGTGATAAAGTTAAGTCAACATCGAATCCTCTTATGATTCTAGATACTGACTTCAGATTACATGGATTTAAAAAATATATATATGCTATATGAACAGTGATATGACCACAACTTATTATGGATTCTATACCTCTTTCATCCAATCTCTCTCTTGAAGATGTACTTAATTGTATGAGATAAAACAAATGAACTATTCAGTTCTTTTTTTATTGTGCAAAATATGCAAAAAAAAAACAATTACTAGATATAATCAATTGTATTCTACTAAAAGGAAACTTAGTATTTGTTTTGAATGTCAAATTAGCTTGAAGCAATTATAAAAGATATTGAACACTATTATTATTATTATAAATTACAATTAACTAATTGCTTATCTTAATTTATTATGTATTACTGTCTACAAAAACGTACTTTGTCTGTCACTAGCTCTTGTGATTGATCTTCTAGAGTAGATAAAAGAAAGAAATAGAACAAGTAAAGAGAAAAGTAATTATTCTGTCCAAATAGCCATTTTATCATTTTGATAGCTAATAAAACAATAATTAGCATATAAATTAATTTATAAATATAATAATTAACAATTGACTCTGTGATTTAATCTGTTCAATGAAAAACTATTTAATGGACAACATTTTACAATAGAGATTTAAGACAACTTTGTTTTTATATTAATGAGAAATATGTTTCTACCTTCATTATGTTTTGAGTACACAACATAATAGAAAAAGTGCTGTTTATATTTAGCAATTAGTGTAGAAATAATGAAACAAAATTTCTTACATTAATTAAAAACACCAGGTTGTAATTTAAAGAAATGCATATGATTGAACTCTGCCAAACAGAAAAAGTTCTCTTATATTTACCACAAAATTACACTCTATATCATCAAATATGGATATCACTTGAAGTTCTTCATCACGTGTTAGCTTTATTTTAAGCATTATTGGAAACCAAGGGGTAATGTAAAGCTATTTTATCGTAGTATGAGTCTCTTCAGCAGTATTCATCCATGACTCCACTACGAAACATCCTTGATTCTTCAGGCTCCATGGGGCATGCAGTATCGCAAAATGACTGGAGTAAGAAATGGAAACAATTGAATTCAAGCCCAGTAAGCGTTCATCACGGACCTTGTAAGTCCTGTGTTCGGGCTCTGGTGACTGGATGGAATATCTAGATGCTTTGTTATATGTATATTTTTCTTAAAGATACACTTTAAAAATCTCTAGTAAGACACTTTTGCGTAATATTTTACAAAACATTCACCAAACTTCAAATATTTACTCGTAATTTACTAATATTTTCGTCTACAGGAAACAAGAGGTTACATTTATTTAAAACATCCGAAGAATCATTTCCATTTATAGTGCTCTAATGAAGTTTATATCACGTTTTAAGCAACTCATTGGATACGTCAGGTTTTGCAATTTTGTCCATCGAATATAATAGTCTGAGTGTAAAATAAATCTCATTTACGAACTATAAATTAAACTTCGTTCGTTGGATAGTATTAAGTCCTCTAAGCCAAACGGTTTAACCATAAGGTTTAAATTATAATTCAGAACAAAATCATCAACGTCTGTTTGTATAGAAGTTAAATAAAAATATGCTCGACAAAAGGATTGATGATGTTACACATTAAGCCATAGAAACGCTTGATATTGGATCAACCAGCTCAGCGAATGAAATAACCACAAGAGCATATATCTAAACTACGAATCTTCATTATTCCAAGATTTCGCCCTATCGTTTATAATTGTTAGCTTTACCGATTCATACATTATTTTAATATTATTTAATCTTTCAACTTTCCGGTTGTCTTTTAACATTTCCATCTTATTATGATATCCCATTCAATCGAATTTCGACATGGTTAGTGTAACATAAATCTATATGTTGTTTAAGAGATATTTAATTGTCATTCAAGGTATACGACGATTGTTAAATAAAAGTGTTTTCAACTCATGAGTTTAAATCAATTTTACAACCTTGACACGACTGGTTTTGTATTTATTCATTTCTTTCAATAAGGTGATTTTTACGTAAAATAAGTTAGAATTTTAAATCCATTTTGAATTTACATTAAATTCCAGCTCTGCATATTTCTATTGTTAGTGTACCCATGACCAAGAAATGAAGACACTAATGAAATTACATGATAGTGAAAATTATACAAAAGAATTTATTCTATCTATAATAGAATCTTTTTAAACAATAGAAAAACAGTGTGTTTTTGAAGTTGGCAAGATTCTTTCTTAATTGAAATGTTGACATGTATATTGAGCAAATATAAAAGATACTTCTAAATCTTCCTTCTTATTGATCACATTTAGAGGAGAGTTTTTACATCTTTTTAGACAAAACAAGTGTCAGTTATACAAAGTGTTCTCATTTATTTCACCGGTTCAAACGAGAAATATCTGAATCAACAGACAGAATTTGTTAGCTAACGTACGTGACATTAATATGGTTATCACAGACACTTTAGTTTCTCAACGTTGTGATTCAGGTAATATGTATACATTTTACTCACAAACTGAACGGATGCAATGTCTCCCCTATTTACACAAAGTGAACAGTTATTAAGATGAATTATATTTTTCTCTTTTGTACAATGCTTCATAATTTTGTTCCGTACTGCCTCCTTTGTCAACTTATTCGTATGAGTATCTCCGTTTGGTTATAATAAATAAGATTATTCAGTCATTCCTATTAGTATACTGTAAAATAGCTCATCCGAATTATATTCAATTTTCAAGATCATGTTATCTCTTTTGTTTTTATAATGGAAAGGAACTGTTCGAGGATAATGCGCTTTTAACTGACTAGTAAATAAATAAGACCGTAATGCGAAGAATTTGAAATTCACATAATTCAGCCATCTACAAGGTAGCTACTGGTTAATAAATATGCAGTACCCAATGTTTGAATCTAATTTTTTAAAATTTAACTAACGATACAATCATTAAAACTTAGGTTTTCTGTTCATATAACAGTGCTAAGTTGTCCGCGTTGGCTGCACTCAGAATACTTACGACCGCGTATATAAATAATTTTCGCACATGAAAGCAGTTATTTTATCGAATGCTGACTGATTGTTCTTATTATGACGGATTTCGTAATATTTTTTATACAATAAAATCAATTCATTTTAGTACATCACCTTACTTACCGGATAACGATCTGGTTGTTCTTACTAAGCGAATACTCAAAAGTATTTTATTTTTTAACATTTCTGGTGACGGTAAGTGACGCTAAAATTATTAATAATGAAAACAATTATTATCCAAACAAATATTGTACACAAAAATAGCTTTTTATATATTAAACAGTTTATTATTGGGAGTACCTGATACCAAGTTTAAATTGTATTTATTCAAAAATAATCAGCTAAATCTCTCACTGTATTTCACTATATACACATATATAGATGAAGTGTAAGCAATGTGCTTTACGGGGTGAGGTGAGCGTATGTTATTTCTTTTAATAAGATCTTTGTTACAGCTTTACCGTAGTTCTAAAAATGATTCGATGAAGCAAACATGATAAATGTTGAATATTTGTTGATAAACTATTAACGCACTCAATTCGTAAACTCACTATTCAAGTAGAAATGTAGATATGCTTCCAGATGTAATATTTAAAACAAAAGAAAAAAACCATAATTAGTTAGTGCAAAATCCAAGGATATCAGTTTAACGGAAGTTTAGAAACGTGTTTAAATGTAGAAATATTTGAAGTCATCTGTGTTTCAGATGTAGTTTGGTTATTCTTATATTTTTATCCTTTCTCACCAGTTAAGCTTTTTCTTTGTAGTAAGTTCCGTCAAGATTTCAAATAAACGTGCTTTTGCTAACATTCAGTCCCATGTTTCTTGAAAATGTAACTTGGTAATAAAACATCAAATTACTAATATTGAATAACATAATTTAATATTAAGAAACCAGAATGATTAGTTTCTTAGCCTGTCCTTGGTTTTACTGGTTGCAATGTTGATTTCCTCCAGTTTAAAGTTTTATGCTCAATCAATTTCACGTTTTTACGTAAAGGTTTTGGAAGACCACATGGATTTAGGGCTGAAGGATAGTATTAGAAGAAGCATTTTGAACTTGACAGTTAAGTACCACCAGTAAATGGAACATTATTTTGATTCTAGACCTAATTAAGTAACTACGCTTTACTTAACATTAATGGTTTATGTTTTTGAAGTTTATCATATAATATTATGTTTTACTAGTGACATGTAATTTGGTGTGATTGTTTGACGTGTACAGCATTTTCTTCCTAGGATTTGTGAAGTTAGATTCTTTCTTTCGAAGACTATCATATCCGTGTGAACTGTGCTTCCACAGTTTAATAACAAACTGTTGTTGTACTTCGTAAATCTAGGATGTTGTTTCTAGATCACCGATTATTGGTGTTCACGTTGCTTTTATTGATGTGCTCAGTTGAATCTTAATGTAAATGAACTACGAAACTCATAAAATAAATTTTGTTTTTCAAGCAATCTCAACATAAACATTTTTGTACATTTCTATCATTTCGATTTCTGGGAAAAAATGACGTAATCCAACTTAGAAACTCCAGAAACTATGTGTTTTGGTCGCTAACCTGTTAACGGTTTGATAACTTATTTTCCATTTACTACCCCATTAGAGTACATCATCCATGAGCCAGTTGAAGTATTTATGAAGTAAACCCTAACGAGTTTGTTAATAACTAGATTCAGAAATACAAATCGTTTATTAGCGATAACGATTGATTATTCATGCAGATTTGAACCAAAATCACTTTACTTATTCCTCTTAGTAACTAAGATATTCTGAATAAAATAAAATCATTTAAAAATCAACAATATGAAGAAGCAATATTCTAGATGCTTGGAAGTTTCTTTCTGGCTGCAAACATCTGAATAATCATTTGATCTTTAAAACATTTAAATCTGGTTATAGGAATATTTCAGATTAGTTTTGTATATTAAAACGCTCTTTTATTATAAGAACGTACCTAAATATAATGAACAAATCTACGTGTGTTCAGTTTAATAACAGTCTTTTGTCTTTTCTTAAATAGTCTCATTTTCATGTCATTGTTCATGCTAACAAATGATACGGTTCATCTAAAATAAGACAGGTTCTTAAGTCAGCTGAACATTGTTGACTTTTCCATTGGGAAGAAAGACAAACTAACTAACAGCAACATTTCAAAGAATAGTTTATTAAAAATCACTAAAAGTGATATGATACTTATCTATCGAACTACCGTATAATTATCTAATAGTTAGCTAACATACTACAAGTTTGAGAATTTAACTGGCTACAATTCAACAAACAAAGCTAAATGATTGAGAAATTAATCATTTATTCCTTATCATGACGTAAAATAAACATTTAATTTATTAGTTTCCTTTCTACTATTGTAAAAAAGGCTTAAGTTTACAACTTTCATAGTTAAGCCAAATGCTTCCGTAAGTCTTATTGCAATCCTAATTTTAGTATTGGTAAAAATCTTGGACTATTATCCACCGTTTATGTTATCCAGCCAACTGTTCACTTTTGTGACGTATTTTGAGACTATTTTTTTTGCATATGACTTTAGCTGCAAAGATAATATTTATGGTAAAGAATAACAGAAGTATATCATAGTTGGCCTAAGTTATTAAATTATAGGTTATAAATAATTATTTATTCGAGTATTGGGTCTCAGTACATAGTCATCTACATCATTGCTAGTTTAAGCCCACTGAATGAGATTGCTATTTGAAAATGAAAATAATCCACCAAAGATTACAATTGTGAAACTAATCGGTGACTGATATTTAATATCAAACAAATTTTTAACCAACTTAACAGAAAAACTGAGTGATACTTACTGAGTAATTTGGTTTTGAATAAGTAGAATGAGTTTCCTTTTCAAGTTTATTATTATTGTTCAAATTACTGGTATAATTCGGTAAAGGCGATACCATTATCCACTGTCCAAGATATTCTTGCAGCAAATTTGCCAGTCTGCATTGTTGCTCTTGACTGAGGTTCAAAAGTTCAGTTTGATTTACATAAAAATATAGAACAAACAAATTAGAGTCAAATACTCAATATGTTCAAATCAAATTATCTTAATTGTATGACAATCATTTCAGACATTAATTTAATTCTGTGTACTGTATTTTGATAATTTTTGAATCCACATGTACAATCACAAAGACTCATGAAAGTCAGATTTTAGTCGAAATAAAATCTAGAGAAAATAATTTTTATTCTCTTCCAATCTGAATCCTGAAATATTAAGTGGACTTGATGTATTTAATTATAAATAAACCTAAGTTGTTTTATAAAATATGCTAAAACGTCAATGTTATCAAACCAAGTTAAGTATATTTATGGAATATCATTTTGCTTCGTTTAAATATTAATTAAAAGATATAAAATCTGCTTCTCGAAACTTGTTCAATAGTACTATTTGTATTTGAATAAGCTGATAATTGAATTGTCTTATGTGAATAAACAATGAGCTCACTAATTAATAACAGTAGTATAACATGGTAATCAAGCGGGTATATAAACAGAACATATTGATTTTAATCAGGTTTCATCGAATCACTGCTCACACTGTCATTCGAGAGTAGTAACTGCAAACTTTAACATAATCGATAAACTCTTGATCCGTTAAAATATTCACTTTATGTATTTGTCTAGTAAAACAACAATACTATTATTTCTTAGGTATCTGAACCTTACTCTAAAATCTTGGATAATTTATTCAACAATTAACGAGTACTTTAATAAATAACTTCTCCAAGTCGAGTACTCATATTATCTTGTGTATTGAGAAATATTTATGAAATATAACCAGAGATTTTCCAATTCAACCTCGGATATATATTTTTCAGTGAGAGCAAACATTCATGACTTGTTTTTATTTTGATCGATGATTAATTTTTGAAATATATTTATTCTATTTTTGGTTCATGCATAATGATAAGTAGAAGTTTTAGTCAGCAAATCTATAAATAAAGAACAACTAATCGTTGTGTACACTCACCCTAACCCATACAAGTTCATGATCAGAATGAATGGATAATCAGAAATAAGGAATATATTTTCATTCAATACTTGTAAGACGGACTGAAAAAATAGATTAAAATAAATGAAAAAAATTACTAGATCATAATATAATGATGACAGGTGTCATTTAGATATACTTCAACTAATATGGTATATAATATCATTAAATAATCATTCCTATATAAATTTTAATTAATACAGACATAAGTCGGATAAAATGACAATTAATGAACAGACCAGTCACTAGTCAATTTTGACATTGAGCAGTTACCGAAACTTTATTTTCGTTAACGTTAGGAAAAAGGATTGATTACATAATCAATGTATTGATATTGATAAAACCAGTACCCTACAAATTAAAAATTCCATGAAACTTAAATCCTTAAAAAAACGGTAATTGCTTATTGATTATGCTGATCTCATACATCGGAAAAAATAAATTGCCTTTATTTAGATTCTTGAAATCAGAGCAAATTCGTATAGAAACATTAAACTTTCATTTCGTCTTAGTGGAAAATAATCTTACCAAATCACTTTAGTACAACAATTTAGATAAGATATTTTCATTCATGTTTAATTTTACGCTCACTAATAAGGGATATATAAACTCCTTCACAGTAGAGTATAAAAGTTATGAGTATCAATTTATTTGTGACTATTCCTTCTAGTTTAATTTGTAGTGTTTCGTTTTACAATAAGGGATAATGTTCTGATCCAAAAACTCTACTGCACTGTATCTAGCACACAACTCTAACTTCAGCTAACTTGAAATATTAAACTATCATCGTCAATTCCATTGATGATATTTAATTCACGCCTGACATTGGTAAACTGTACTGATAATGGATTCTCTCTAAAACATAAGAAGTTAGTCACTTGTAGGAACATGATTATTACTAGTATATCAAGTTGTAGTTCGGACCATGAAGTGGCTTCGTCTGGTAAATAATCGTACAATATCGCTAATTGACTTTAATTAGAAATATAAACCAACTCAGTCGCCTAATGTTTAGGATGAGGTCTGAAGGATCTTGGTTCGATTTAACACCTAATCGTAAATAGACGTTGATGAGAATTCTCATATTAGCGTCAAGCAGGCATTCAGTGCTTTATATTTTTTCACTGGCTGTATAGCTGAAATTAGTCCGAGATATCAACTTCGAAATTAAACTATCTCTACAATTCTTCTACACTGATAATATCAGTTCCTTCAAATCAGTGTGAAGCTTAACATTTATGGAATAAAATTAACTTGCATAAAATGTTTGTTAAAACAGTTAATCGTCAGCTTAGTACATCAATATTCATCAGTTTTATGCAACTTTTTGCAATTAATTTTCGACAAACGAGGATTTCTGACTTTACTCTTGAGTGGAAATCGAAAATAACATTACTTAATTTCTAGGTCGAACATTAAAATAGCCTGAGTTACATTGTTGCATATGAAAATTACTGAGTGTTAACTCTTGTAAGTAAGTGATATATTTCTTGATTTTTTAATAGATTACGAAAAGAATCAGCATCAGACCTTTGGCCGAAGAGTTTGTATCAAATTTTAGTTTACTGAATGCATATGCACTTTCTAGGAGTTTGGACTTCATTCGTTCATTACTACAGTAAAATATATTATTGATGGTTCATGAAGTCCTATAGGGTTACCAAGCCATTATGAAATGTGTATTTTCCGTCAATCATAACTACCAACAATAACTTACCCTGAATAAGGCATATGGATAGTTTTTGTACAAAATGGATCTCATTAAATCAAATGACTCGTGTGGGGTTTGTTCTGTAAAACAAGTTGGTATTTTATTTGGATTTGTGGGGACGATGATAAGTTCATTAGAAATAATAGTTTCGGCTCCAACTAGTCTGGAAAAATAATGACAATCTAAAATTAGGGTCCTGTAGAGGAAAAAGAAGAGAGGGAGAAAAGTTTTCAATCCTGAACAAATAACTTGAATTTTAGATACTTTAGAAAAAGAACGTAATTTCTATTGATTTTGTAGCAGGTAAATGCCAACCCCACCTCATATTGATAAAAAAACATGTATTACCTCATTACTGATACGTTTTTGCTGCGTAACTGATATGTTTCTCAAAATGGTATTCATCCAGATACTTCATTCGAAGATTATCAAAATGTTCAAATATTAGAGAAGTAACTAGTTAAATCATTTGTAACACTACGACTGACAGTAGGAAGCTTAACTGACATTCTTGAGAATATCTGTTGTCTTTTTGTTGTTTTGAACAAATTCTTTTCGTTATTATCACTTTGTTTTAGTCTAGAATTAGAAAATTATGGGTTTATAGCATAAAAAGAAACTGCTGAATCAGAAGATTACTTATTTTCACCGATGACAAAAGATTTAAAATCCCTTGTGGAAAGTTATTTATAAAGAAAATCAGCATAAATAAATCTTAAATAAAGGAAAACAGATTGATTAGCTACGTAAAATGCATGGGACTTATTCAAGTACGGGAATTTTGAATTTGAGGTATATATAAAATACTAAACATAAATTGGCTTTTCATCATTAAAAAACACAATTATTTATTTAGAAATCAAAGCCAGTTAAAATTGTTTTTATTATTAGAGTAAAAATAGTTTTGTTGTAAAATATGACCTACCTAATTCCAAAAAATAACGCTTGACGGATAGTTCTGAGAATCTTATTTGATTTAATACCATATCCTATCACAGAACATGGTTCTTTGGGTATTGTAGTATCTGTAAGCGACACCTGGCTACATTGAACAGTATGTTTAATATCATCTTCTCTGCAGGTTTTATGGGTTAAATAAGCACTTTTAATATAATAATGGGCGAGCGGATGTTGTGATCCATCTAAACTAAATTTGCTCGGTTCTGCAACTGTAGACATTGATTCTATTGGCTGATCATAGGTGTCAAAAGTTGGGTTGCGGCTTATGCATAATTCACGATATGTGGAAGATAAGAGTAACCGGTAAAACCCTTCGTTTGTCAATAAACCTAAAAGTTGGAGCATAATGAAATATTGACGTTCATATATTCTTTACAAAAACTAATGTTATTAGAACTATTAATTTAGAGTAAACTATTAATGATTTGATAGCATGTCTGTCCACTTTGACCATATCAATTTACGTTGATCCTGTATTTCATCGTTTTATTTGTCCCAAGACGTTTGCTTCAAAAACTATGGATACGTATAATTCAGTTAAATTTGATTTGTATAACAACGTGTACTGAAGTTGTATGTTCATGAATCAAATTAACAAATTTACACAAATTAAAGTGGATCAACATACGACGCATAGATGTTAAGAGTTTTTGTCGCTGTGCTTGCCGTTACATACGATGGTAAATATAATATGAATACCTCTTCATAATGACAAATATATCTAGGGAAAAAGGCGTGATTTAAAACGTTAATGGGTTAGAACAGTGACATATAACTGATTATTGTAGATGAAAGCGAACATAAAAACTGACTTCATATAAGGTTATATAGTTGGTCTAATTTTATCGCTTTCATTGTTATATCAGACAAATTGTCCGATAACTTCAGCGTAAGTTAGCCAGCAACAAGAAATCTATTACCCACGTTGCAGACAGTAATCAAATAAAAAATCACACTTCAGGTTTATTGGCTACGGGAAAATGTTTTTGTTTTACATTTTGATTTATGTTGCTCCATAAACTGAACAATCTCTATGTACAACATACCTGATTACTAAAATGACCAAGATCAGTAAGTCTTGATAAGTATCGACCTACTTAGTGACACTGGGAAACTTGGGTGTATACCTAGATTTTGATGTTGTTATACTAAAGATTTTGTACTAGGCGGCTATAATTTGCCTTTTGGAAATTCATCAACATTTGCTAATGATAATTCTGTTTTCAGATGCAGCCAGTGGCATTAGGGGATTAATAACAAATGTTTTGATAGATAGAAGAAAACATTGCTTTATTTTATGATGAAACTTATAGGTCATAAAGCTTACTCCATAACCTTTTAAGTGGAATTTTCACTCTCATTCACAGTTATAAATAGAAACCCTTGAGTACTTTGCAAAAAATAATACTTATGTATACGATAGTCTGTGATACTCAACTGTGATCAGTATTACATAGGGACCACATGGTACAAGAACTCCTTATGTAAATTGAGGACGGTTAGTCCAGTTTTAAATATCAGCGTTGAGAAGAGATACAAAATCTTGTATTTCATGAACTTGTCAAATAATATTAATCAATGAATTAGTAGTGAGGTTTAATTAAAGCAATTTTATTGCATCAGAAGTGGATAAATTTTGTTGCGTAATATACTTTAAGTGAATCGATATCAGCATATATGATTCAATTCAAATAATAGAAACTTACATTTACTGACTGCATATTGATTAGTTTCATATCGTCGAACAATTTCACTAAATTCTTTATAATTAGTAATGACAAGAGAAGAGATAGATTTGTGATCGTTTATTCTATTTCTGTCGTGATGTAATGGACTTGTTTTAGAGGACAATGATTCACTAGTTAAATTGAGAGTATTCGCAATTGGACTCTGATTTAAATTAGTCTGATTAGTTGTATAACAACTTCTTGATCGTTTTAAATTTGAATTATTTTGTGTTCGTTCAATGTGTAGATATTTTAAATGTCTCAGTGTTTTTTGCTTATCAACCGCCTTAAAATTCCTTGGATTTTTCAAAGAAACATTTGGATTTGTGAAATATGAAACACTCTGTGAGTAAAATAAAAGCAAAAAGATTTTATAATTAACTTTTTTATTGATGATTATCAATAAATAGTGCTAAGTGGTCTGTAAACAGTTCATTTAGTTTCGTCTAATTTATCTCAACCTCATGCTGTGTTTTGAGATTTCAATAACACGATTTATAAGACATTTGATCGCGAGCTGATAATGGCTGGACAATAATTGAAAAATAAGGCTGATTGAACAGATGTTTTGCCGGATTGCACCACCATGACTGTACTCACTAAACTGAATCTACTAGAACTCTATAAAATTCCTCTGTTAACCTGCCTGTAAAACTACTTGGTAAAAGAATCTAACTGTTTAAACATAATGCTGTTTGCTTGATAATAATTCAGTGTTTCATTTGAAAAGCACCTTGGATAAACGCACAGGTGACTGATGACTTTCAAATCGATCCAAAAAGATCACCTAGTTTGGATGAATTAGATGGGAAACTTGAGGATTGAAGTGAAAAGCAAATCAGATGATCAGTTCAATCGCATATCTCATTTCATTAGAATATTAGTTCTTTGTTAATCAAGTTTCTGTCCACTTGAGTGATAAGAGTTTTACGTCGAATAAAAATTGCATAATTTAATCATTTTTAGTTGTTCATAGTCTTTACAATACGAAATATAAAACGAAACAGGTATTCAGTTTCCAAACTGCATAAAGTCACTTCAATAACTAGAGTCGATAAACGAATCACTGCAATAGAGATCTAAGATTAGAATTTATACTAGGCTATCGCATAGTGAAGTAGAAGCATATACCAGTGCTTGCTTGAGAGTACACTAAATATCAAAGTAAGCCCCTTTAAATATCAAAGAGAACTAATGAGATGGGAAACCATGAACTTATATGTGTAGATTTTTCAAGAGGGCTTAACTCAATATATACATATCAGCAAAATAATACAGTACTAGTCAACTTACTGTGTGCAAAAATAAATTCAACTCTTGACAGTTCATAAATCCTTTAGTTTTAGTGCTGAAAACATATTAAACGGAAAAGAACATTGAGTAGTCTATTTATAGTAGGGATATATGATTATATTTTCCATTGGTCCGAAAACTTCACTTCTTGATCTTTCGAAATAAAAATATAATCATTATCAAATAACTTGTTCAGGAGGTAACAGTTCTCATTGCTTTTTGCGTTTTAGTCCTCATAAATCTTTTCTAATCTGGTACTGGTCAACGTGGTGATGTCATTGTATTTCGTGTGCAGCAGGGGACTACTAAGACATATATCCTAACTAAAATCACTAGTTTATCGATTGGATAATTAATATATAAACTATCAACCCTAAAGATATTACATATTTGTATTCAGGAATAAGTACAATATATTAATGACTAAAAACGTGACGTAAAGATTCATCCTATCGAAAAGTAGATGTTAGCTACAGAAACTTCACCATTTGATTTACTCTTAAAGCAACTCAAAATGTTAATATACCATGCATCCTGCATAATAGCACTCTTATATACGACTCTAAAACTATAGCAGACCTTTTCAGTGGTATTTTTGCGAATAGTAACTCAATAAAACCTATCTGCTTCACATGTTTGAAAATTATTAAGGCTGTAAATATATTTAAGGTTTCGGATGCTCATGGAGTAGACGAAATTTCATTTGTTTTCTCTACAAATATTGTGGTCTAGATATTCCACTTCTTTTTCTTCTTCTTCTTCTTCTTCTAAAACAGGTTACTCTCCGTATGGAATCAGGCACTTACCCTTACTGCTGGAAAAACTACGTGTCATACCGCGTTACAGATATGGAGATAAGACTGACATGAACAATTATCAGCCCATAAATGTTACTCCAGCTATCGCTAGGATTATGAGAAAAATTGTTAGTGACGAACTCTCCAACTATTTACCCGCTGGAAAATTTATTAGTGATTCTCAACATGGATTTTTAAAAATCGTTCTTGCATGACATGCTACTTTGATTTCTTTAATTTTGTCGTTTCTCAATATAACCAAAGATATCTAGTCTTAATGTTTTACTTTAACATTTCTAAAGCCTTTGATATGGCTGACCACCAACTTCTCATAGATAAACTCTCATTTTACGGGGTCCAAAAACATCTCTTTGCTTGTTTGATTCTTTTCGCAGTCACTGACATCAAATAGTTAAAACTAACTCTTTCTTTTCGTACGCTTTCTCTGTAAGAAGCTGTGTGATACAAGGTGATGTCTTAGAACCTTTGCTCTTGTTTTAGTTTTTGTCAACGATATTTGCTAATGATTTTGTGTAGGTAAGCTTCTTCAGTAAGTAGATGATCTTAAAGTAGTGTATTCATTTTCTCCTCATCAGCTAAACAATAAGCAAAATTACATCAGTATAGAACTTAACAAAGCAGTGCAGTAGTGTTCAAAATGGCATCTGGAGCTTAACATAGCTAAATGTGTATGGATATGCTTCGGTGATACATCACTCAACTTAGATCTTACCATAAATGGTAAGGTTACATACGGTAGTAGACTTTGAACTTAGGTACTTCTACGATTTTTTGTTTACAGAACAGGTATTGAAAAAGACCTCCAAGTCTCAACGTCTTATATGTTGCGTAAATTAAAACCTCTATAACAATGAGTCACGTATTTTGATGTACAAAGTTTGTGTTCGATCACTCTTAGAATAATACATGTTTATTCTTAGTAGTGTGCACATAAAGGAAAATTAAGGTTGAAATCAGTACAAAGACGATTTACACATCGGATTCTTGGAACTGATTGTACATTGAATTATAATTCCAGATGTAATAAACTCGACCCTCTATGGGAAAGAAGACTCAAACTAAATCTAATATTTTTCTTCAAAATACTTAATAAACTATCCTTTACATCCAGTCAAATAATTCAATAAGCAGAAACTTCTAATTACGACATCTGTAACTCCTTGTCATTGGTGAAATAAACCCATTCTAAGTCACCTCTTTATATGAATTACTCTACCTGTAAATTTTCTAGACGCTGGAATAATCTACAACAATTGATCCGTAAGATAAAATCACTCCCATCCCTTGTCCTCTGAACTAATGCTTACTGCTTCTCTGAAAATCCATTAAATATTTTAGCGTCTGTGAGTGTATCTTATTCCGCAAGTGAGATTATAAGAACTTTAGCCATTCTTATTACTGAATTTACTAAATAAAACCACCTACCTGGTGTTATTTTACGTTAGAACCATCCCTGGCAACCCTAACTAATTTGAATAATATCTAACATGAACAGAATATCATTAAATCACATGACACATGCATTATGGTAGACCTGACTGACATATTTTAGTCATTATTACTTCATTGTTTCGTACTCTATGTTTCCATTTTATTTTTTCTAATTGTGGATGATTATAATTATTTCATTATGGCTCAGGAAATGACCTTAAATACACTGTTCATTAATCAACCTGATGTCCACTTAAGAAGAACTAAAAGTTTCCGGCCGATGTATTGCATTGCTGTTATACATGTCATAAATGTAATACCTAAACAATCTTTGAAATAGTAAACTTAAGACAATTTTATATAATATGTTTGTTCTGTACTTTTAGTATTACTATTTACATCAAGCTGATCATGCCTACGAACTGGCATGAATTCTGTAATAATTATATTCAGAATATATATTATAAATATCTAAAAGGGGAATTCGACTTTTCAAGAATATTTGAGGCGATGCACAAAAAGTTTTAGATGAAGAACCGTAACTTAAAAATGTACTTTGAAGTTCTGCTCTTAAGATTGATTTATAGGATTTAAACAGAATGAACGGGGTTTCCAATAGGTAATAGTAGTGATGTAATATATTTTCTATGTAAAATGTTACACTGGCAAAGAAGAAACACGTTGTAATTGGTCACTTACTATGCAGAAAATAGGTCTGCTATGTCGTCTCGAGGCCAAGAATGGATGAATAAATTAAAGAAAACATCGAATGTGAAATTGTCTAGCAAAGTTTCTTCAATCTGATAAACAAAAAACAACATGGAATTAGAAATTTAGGAGTTTGTTAAGGTAGATAATGCTTGAAAATAAAAACGTCAATAAAAATTCAAAACTTAAGACAAATTTTATTTGCTTCAATAAATTAGGCATCTAAGCCATGCACTTTACTGTGTTTGTACGTGTACTGCATTCAACAAACTTGACAACATCGCCTTTACTTCTGATTCCGAATACGTATTCTAATTATTTTAAACAATTAGTATTTTCTGTATCCACGATTGATTACTTACATATAAAATGTTGTTCTACAATAAACTGAGGTTTATTATCAGTATCTATTGAACCGTGAATTCAAAAGATTTCATTTTAACATTCTCTTCAACTCTAGAGATATCCTTTTTTTCCACAATCGAAATTCTGAAAAAGACATGTGCTCAGTACTGGTATACATGTCGTGAATTGTTATACGTCTATATAGCTGGAATTTTGTATAACGTATTTATTCACATAGTTTGTAGACACCCAACAATAGAACGTTAGCCATAATTTTTATAATAGAATAACATAACACAGGAAATTAAGAACTATGTCACGAATGTATTTTAAATCTTGTTCAACTGGTTGTATACAACGATAGTACGAACTGTCCAGTTGTTAAATTTTAGGATCATTCCATTGGGTTATTTTTCAGTACAAATTTGGATGAATTCAGAATAATAATTTAGGAGAATTACATAAGTTTGTTTAATTCACAGATTCCATTTTGTTTCTAACACCCTGTCTCATATATATTAATTATCATAAGAAAAGTATGTAGATTTACTGGAGAGCGGAAATTGACGAACTAGCTGAAATTTGTCCATCAAAGATATTAAATTGGAACCTTAATATCAATTACGTTTGTGACTTTTCTCTGAATGCGAGTTTTAAATCTGTTGAACGTGGAACTGATGTGATAGAAATGTATCTGATTAAGCATAGCTGAATTGAATCCGAAAAGCAAATGAACGCATATTCCTTCACTACAGATGCTTTTCTGTTTTTATTGAAATTCTGCAATATGAAATACTTTTAAGCTAGTTTGATAAGCGATTATATGCAAACCTAAAACTTGCAATTTAAGACTGATATCATCAATGACAAGAAGTATAATATGACTTGTAGTGATAATATATAATAAAAGAATATTTTGAAAACGTAACAATAACTGAAAATATAGATAAAGCTGGCCTGTACAATATACAGGGAGTCAGTAATTTGAATTTATTTTAGGAAATCTTATCGTTTATTCTCACCAGGTCGATAGAAGACGTTCATGATTAGAAACGCAACAAAAGTTACCTCACACTAGTTTACATGAAACCATATGCTATCAATCACATGTAAAATGTAAATGAAAACTAGATATAAATGACTTACGTTAGCATCGCTACTACTATAGTCTGTATTGACATTGTCTGTAATAATCGGTGAACATTCAGACAGATAACTTCTATGACTTGGCAATAAATTTCCTTCTAATCCAAATGCTGCTAGAATACAACAATTTGGTATGGTAGACTTTCTATCGTGAATTAACTGCTCTGTTTTTCTCCATGTTGACAAATTCGAATAAACAATAATTAGATGTGTCCATCTAAGAAAAAGTATTATCATATATAAATAAATACATATAATTGTTGAAAACAGTATGCACAGTTTAGATTGGATAACTAAAATTTGATGGAAATTATATGTTACAGTTTCTTATCTGCTGAACTCAAAATTTTAGTTGATAATAGTTTGAAGCGAAGAGAGGTTGAAAACGAAAACGTACTGTAAGATAATGTAAACTTGTACAATATTGAAGAATAAGTTAATTTTATTGATTGGTTATCTACGAAATTAGTTCTTTAAATTTATAGATTGGCATCACAGACTGATTTACGCTACCCAATCGTTGCTGATCGAGTAGCGATGGATAGATATGTCTGTCTAGTTTTGTGATCAAACCCAATAATTTGAAGTTCTACGGGAAGCTCGTAAGCGTTTGACATATGAGTTGGAATACAATTATTCACATTTGAAACCTCAATCAATTTGTGATTTGTATAATCACTATTCACTGATTCCAATCATACCCATCATATTCTTGACCTGATCGAAATCTATTAGTCACAGCATTCTACCAAATAATTGGAGATTCTTATTAAACTGAGTCATAATTTGTTCAGCGATCATTTAGCAAAATGGGGGTTATTGAATGACGGTTTTTCAATGAAAACGATTCACTGAAAAATAAGTGTTTACTGCTCAATAACTGGAATTAAACAACGCCATGTTTTATAAAATCTGTTAATTTGCTAAGGATTGCTTAAAAAAGAGTTAATTAAAACACACTGAAGAATCAAGATCATTGAATGTTATTTATATGGAAAAGTTTCTTATCTAGAGAATTTACAATTAGGTGTGAAATGCATTTATTATCAAAAAGTGATGATAATTATTTGTTTAAAGCCCTGGTAATACCTTTTCTATCGTTAATCGTTTTACAAATGTATTAACTAAGCCGGTTGTATGTCAAATCATTTCACATGTTTTAAAAGTAAACTTTATTACAGGCTGATATCAGGTGAAGGAGTACGGAAACTAGTCAAGACTGAACGCCCGTTATTTCTCCATCTATACTATGATCAAGTGCTGTAGAGTTACCAGACACTTAATAATGAAGTTGTTAGACAACCAGGCTAAAAGATCAAGCTGATACACTGGCGAGAAGTAGCCATACAAGGAGCTGTTCAGTTCTCATGGTTTTGGATAGTTCTACAATTGATTTCACTATCTTCACGCGGAAGTAATCTACACGAACCATTCAACTAAACAAGAAATATTTAAGATGATTTCATGAAAAATGTAGTCAACTCAAATAGTTATTGGTCTATTTAGTCCGGGGCAGTTAAAATTAAGGTACTTCTTATTGTTTTAATTATCAAACACTAAATTTTTGTTTTTGATCTTGGTAACTAAAAACTAGAATTAATTTTTCCAAGCAAAAAATCTACGAACTTTATTACAGTTTGTCAGCATCAGGTGCACGAACTAAATACCAGCGTTAATATTCAAATTGAGGTTCAAACTTAGTATTTATCACTTCAAATGTCAACTAATTATCCACTAAGCTGTTGAGTTCAGATATTCACTAATTCGTTCAAAATGAATGTTCTTTTCAACTATTGGAATTTTACTGATGTTCATATTGAAGACTCAAAATGATCAGTATTTAGTGGCATATTTACATTTTGGCTTGATTGCTTCCATATTTCCTTGAGTTACACATTCCAATATGACTAATCACTTGGAATTTCTTATTTTAGTAATGGGAAAATTTAAATCTTCGGATAAGACCACTTTAGTTTAATAAATTACTTTGAAGAGATGTCACAATTATTACAAACACCTTTTCGCAGATTAGAGTAAAAGGTATTGTGATCTGCATAAATTCAGAATCTCTCATGACTGAAATGTTTACTCTGAAATAAATTAGTTAACTTACTGTTTCCATAACAATTCCAGTGGTGCCAAATCAATACGTGTTGGATAATGAGTAAATACTAGTCTAAGTAGGTTATCTTTCCATAACTAGAAATAATACAAAGATTCTTTATTAGACATTAAAACATACAAAACCACCAATTTATCCTGTTAACAAACGACTCAGTTCAATTATAAAAACTAGGTTGATATTATATTTGATGACAAAACACACCTTCTGGGCATGAGTATGTTTTATGGACCAAGGGTTGTTACTAATACTTGATGACATGGTTACAATGTTTTCATTATTCCAATTGTTATTAACAAGTGATCTGAATGCAATAGTCTTTTTGTTAACTACAAGTTGAAGATTTTGTTTGATCTGTTATTCAAATGAAGCAATGATTTAAAATTAAAGGGGAACAAAATGGATATTTGAAAAATAAATAAATCACTATAACTGAAACAAATTCAATGATAACACTCGTCATTGCCCATTAAAAAGTAGTAGGCTATACTGGCATTATTGATAACTTATTAAATTGATGAATCAACAAACACCCATGTATACTATTCGGTGTTTTTATCATATTGTTATGTTTAGTATTTATTATTACATCAGAGAGCAATTTAGGAATGTGAAAAATATGAACTTCCCACGATAGAAACGATTTATTGTTTTCTTAACTAATTGTATCTTGAAAATGTCAAAGATACTTGAAAGAAACAGTTTTTAAAAACCTTTGCGCTTAGTGAATATCCTACTGGTTTTAATCAGTCACGGCCTAGAATGGAAGACAAAACGAGAGAACTATTCGATTTAAACTACTGAGAGATTCATAAATATAATCTTATTTTCACTCAGTACGTTGTTGATTTGCTGACGCCGACAAAGCATTTTTCAAGTAGTTTTTCTTCGATAAAAATGAAACAGTGGAAATTCTAGTTCATGACAAGCACTTCTTATGTATCATGTTGAAAATCACAATTAACTGAAGAACTCATATGTTATAAGAATTTACAGAAAATGCCTCTGTAACGATGTATAAACAGTATTCCAAGTAACAGAAATTTGAACTTCAACTAGATGTATGCAATCAAGGAAACATTAGTAGATGATCTGGGTCAGTGGCCATTTATCAGGTAGCTACATAGTGTTGCTGTTAACAATTAAAAGGTAAGACAGTAGTTCCTTTTTTACCTTTAATTGTTCTCTACATCACCTGACCATATGACTAAGTTAAACGTCACCTTACATATATTTTAGACAGATGAAAATGTGTATAAGTGTTTTTCCCCGGCAAAGTCACATATGATTAATTACACTCAGGAATATTTGCATGATGGATAGCAATTGTGTGGACGTGGTTCAAATAAACTGGTGCATTGTTTTGAAGGATTTTCATTTAACAACTTATTCATACAATGAGAAATAATAACTGAATATAATGTAATAGCTCGTTATTTTTAATTCTTTTTTTGTTTTTGTTGAGATAAATTTGGATATATTTAATTAAACAGAAATTCAAGCTCATTAAACTATATATATATATATATACAATTGAAGAAAACAGTGTGATCTATTCTTCCTATTCTCTATTAATTTCAAAAGATGGTAGAATAACCAATCAGAAACACAATTTCTATTATAATTAATTAACCAATAACTTTTAAATGAATTAATCTTTTCTTTATAAATAAAATGAAAATAATCAATTTCAGCTTGGAATTTGATTCATTTTATTCTAATTAATCTAAACTTAATTGTAATTTAAATCTGATGGAATTAAAATTTAAAATTAAATTAAATTACACTTAAATGAAAAAGCAAGAAATAGTTAAAATAAAAACAACACGAAGAAGAATTGTAAACAGTTTAATCTTTTCATTCTACTTTATCCCGTGATCGACCTATCAACTTATTTTAAGTCAGCTGCTTCATTAATTCATTATTATTGTTATTAACTTCTTTTTTATTAGGAAAGAATGAGAGTAAATTGTCCTAACTTCAATTATATTGATTGATTAATAAAAGCAGAAAAGGGTTATTTTAAGAGGTTAAATTTGTATTATACAAAGTAGAGTGATCTATTTTGTAATACTTATCCATCTTATGGTAACTTCAAAAGTTTATTGACTCATATTAAATGTATTTTGAATTGATGAATACACGAGTTATTAATATTCTTTGTGAGTATTCATTATTTTCCCTAACTGTTCAACTGGAATAAGAAAGCAAAGCTTTTTTGTCAGTAATAAAGATGAAAGTTTATCATTGTATATATTCTTTCTAAACAAAACATTAGCTAAACAATGACTTGAACAGGATATTGTGTAGTTCTATCATTACTTTAATTTCACTTTGAACACGCCAAATTAACATCAATTGATTTTAAACATCTAAAAGGCAACAGATCCTGATAATGCCATCTATCCTCATACGACATTCAATTTGACGTGATTACAAAAACATAAATATCACTAACATGAACCTTTCGTTCAATTTATTTGAGCTTCACCAATATTTTTGAATTATGCATTGGTGGAAAAAAGAATCAAATTACCCTATTAAGCAGTTTAAAACCAGATTAGTGAACGAATCACTTTTACCAACGTGTTTACAGTTGTTTCTACCTATAGTTCTCTTCAGTGTTACTTTATTAGTATAGCTTTGGCAAACATCCATATACATTCCTCAGTTTATTTGTTCTTATGTAATAGGTTATCGTGGTTTTAATCTTCAGAGAGGTTATAGATTACTGGTACAGCTTCGCAAAATCAACCAAAAAAGTGATCCTTAAATTACTAGCTTTCGGTGTTGATGACTGTTCGTGAAATAAACAATTCTTAACAATACTGTTCATAAAAATTTGAAATTATTAACTTATATTGATACTCCGAAATATATCAAAATATGTCTATTAGTTCTTATTGTGGATATAACATTTGCATATTATGTTATGTTACATAATAACTAATTGAGTGCGTTCTTACAAATAAAGGATATATATAAAGTTAGTAAACATCTCGAAATACCCTAAAATATGTTATGATGAATTCAATGAATTTTCCTTTCCGCATACATAATTATTGCCATATTGAATTTAACATTACTTTCCATTAGTATAAAAAGTCTTTAACAAACAATTGATGATATTTTCTGAGGTTTTAGATAAGCATAAATTACTGTTTGCCATTGTAGTTTAAAGGATTTCGGAAGTGACGTTTAACCATCAATAATATTGTGAAAGCTCCAATCTTAATATAAACTTAAATTAATGTCTATCGTTTAACTGAGCAAGTTTCAAAACTATGTAATAATTTATTGCTTATATACTAAATTATTATGGAACCATTTGGCTTAATTTTATTTGAATATTTTCGTTACTACTTCGCAAACATGGTACATACATAACCAAGTTCACGTTGACTTAGCTTATGGGAAATCAAAGTTGCTCATCATTACATTATTGTTAAGCACTTAAGCTGGACATATTTGTTTTAAATCACTGATCGAATTTCTCCTTTTTTTAAAAAAAAATTGAAGCGTATTTCTGTTTATACATTTTTATGGATCACAGTGACAGAAAATTCTACCCTACTCAACTAACTCAACCAAGCTATTATTACTATGACAAATGAATAATTTCATTCAGTTAACTACTGGTGAATCTAGACATGATACCTGAAAATGTACTTTTTCATGGAGACATTTACACGCAGACATGCTTGTTAGACTGTATTCGACTACTGACTATTAACTGTTTAGGTGATCAATAAAATCCAAATCGGTCATTTGACAGTAGGCGAGTAAATTGTTTGAATTTACTGGTAGAAATAAATGTTAGTATAAAAGTTGTCATATTGTCATAAAAGCTGGGTGTTTGTTTCGAGAATGAAGTTTACGACTTCATTTTAACACTCGATTCTGCTTCCTTTATTCATAACCATAGATATTAAGCAGATACGAATAAAGGAACATTTGATTCATTTTTTTAATATTTTTGCTAATTGGCTTTGAATACTTGATATTTTGTCAATTATAAACTATGTAAGACCTAGAATATACGTAGATCCGTCTAATTTACCACAACATATTAACACACAGATAGCTTTTATTAAGCTTCTTTGACAACCAGTCTTTAATAATATTTGTTCAACATTTTGTTTGTCAAAGAAATAATATTCACTTACCTTTAAAGTTTCAGGATTATCCTTGACTAATAAAAATAAAATACTGGAGTGGTCATATATTCCTTTATGCAATTTTCCATAGGCTGTATTTGTTCTAGATTCGAAAAGCCCTTCTGAAGAAACCTGAAGACGTATGAAACTAGTTTCCATTGATTCAAATAACTGTCAAGATATTTAAAATCAAAAAGTCTGTTTTAAATAGTGGGCTCTGATGAAATAGATATTATTGACATAGTTTCGGTCTACTAAGCATATTTTATTGCATGAATAAGTAGATCAAAGCGATTAACAACACAATGAACAGTTTAGGGCAATACAATTTCTCACTGAGGTGAGATGTATGTTATTCCTGATGTGATGTTGCAGATTATGGTAGTGAATCAAATCACAGTGACGATTAAATGTAATGGAGGTTACACTTTGGGAGGTGGGTTTTTAAAGGCCACGATATATATTCATTTGACTCAGTAGGATGTGTTATGGAAAATATTAGCTAAATATCATTATAAGTGGTAGAGTGTGTACATATATTGAATTACCTTAAAACTAATTTATATAATATCCACAAGATATACGATAATTCACAATTTTACGTGCATACTTTTAAAATACTACCGAAGCCATAATAACTAGGTATTTTTTAAAATAGAAGCTTCTGATATGGAAAATAAAATAAGGACTTCAAAGCACTTTGTAATCTGAACTGATTCTCAGGAAACGTTTTAACGTTGCATTAAACATCGTATTATAGTGATATTTATTACGCTTCAATCAGTACTTATGCATTCCATCAAAATCCTGACTCAAACGGTGTTCCAAAGTTATTAGGCTTGCATAAAGTTGATATGTACGCAAACGAGAAATCAGTTACTTGTGTAATTTTCACTCATATGTACTCAACAGCAGTTTCGTCATCCTAATATAAATAAGGTACTACTAACTGTATATTGCTAAATTTACCAAGTTATTTCTAACAAATCAAGTAAGAAATTTCCCTGAAGCTTATCATGCAACTGACTGCTGTTTTCAAACAATAACTAATGAAGTTGCTTGGTTTGTTTGCTTGAATCTTAACATTGATATTTAGGACTGCAATTGATCAGTCTCGTATTGGCATATGTACATCCTGTGCGGATTACGTCGGCATGGTTTTAAGTCACAAGTACTATAAGCAAAGATGAATGGTGTCTAGCAGTGAAATCCAGGATGCGTGTTTCATCCTATTGGGGACGTGTCAGCTGGATGTACCTGCATCTCAGATTCCCAAAGTGGACGCCAACTCTGAGATGCAGGTACATCCAGCTAACGAGTCCCAAACAGAACAAAACTTGCGTCATGGATTCCGCTGCTAGCCACCATGCATGTTTAACAACTAATAGAGTTTATATTATCGTGTAAAAATTTGATCAGAATATTTTTTCTTCATAATTATTACTTTAGGAAACAATTTCATGTCATCACAAGTCCAATCAGTATATCATCCGTGAGATCACGTTTTTATCTAATGTTTTACTGCCTAATTATTGATCAGTAAAACTTTGAGCTCATAGGTTGAACATAAGTCGAACATAAATTTCTTGTACAAATAATTAAACTCAGTGGTTTCAAATATACAGGTGTTTTTTAACCTCGTTAGACTCTAGCACCACGTAAGTTTACATATGATTAAAAAACTGAGTAAATTCACTTCGCTGCCATACTTCTAATTTCATCAGATAAATAACAAATGATGACGTTTATCGTCCATTGTAGTGCTTCATTATATTCTCTCAAAAGAATTTTCTTTAAGTTCTGTATCACCTGAATTTAGCTCAGTTAGTGTTAAGCAAATGCCCTACAACAAATGAAAAGTAAAATGTCATTGTATTACTTACATCATCACTATCTATACACATTTCAATATCTTCAATATATATGAGATCCACTGTCGTAACAACCTAAATGAAAGAACAAAATAAATTGACAGTCAGAAGTAGCAACAGATTTCAGGATTTAATTTGAAAGCCGATTTATCTGAAGTGGCGTTGTTTTATTCCATGTGCTCGGTACATTCAGTAAGTGCATTTTACAGTATATTATTTTAACTTATATTACGTTAAACATAAAATTTCTTTGATGAAACCTTAGGAGAAATGAAATTCGAAGAACTACTTTCAGGATAAACTCAACATATTTATCAAATGCATCTGTTTGAATACTTTGATAAATAATCCAAACAGACTCAACGGTTCTCAAAGCGATGTCAGTCAACGTCGTAAAATCACACAGTCCTCACAAACTCTCATCTCAAAACTAAGTTGATAAATAATAGAATATCAGGAAAGATACCTTCACTTTTGGTACCATTTCACATTCACGGTGATAACGCTGAAGAATAAGCACATATGACTAGGAAAGTCGCACTAATAAACGTCATATACATCAATACTGTGTACGTATTTATCTGAAAATTATTGTGATTTGAATTTTTAACTAATGATTCACAGATGATTGTAAAAAATGACTGTAATGCAAATATATTAAGTTAACTATTTCTAACTTGTTAACGGATTGTTTAAAATTGAAGAATTATTCAAAAAATCCATTAAAGTTAATAATTCAGTTATTTTTCGACTTCATTTTTCCATAACTTCATCTACTTTATCATTGGTTATTAGAGAACATAACATTCACAAGGCCATTTCAGGAGTCGCTCAAGTGTGAAACTAGTATTTTTATATATATATATATATATATATATATATATATATATATATATATATATATATATATATATATATATAATCATAACAAAATACTTGAATTCCAATCTAATTAGATTTGATTATAGATAACAATTTCTGATGAATTTGACAAAAACAAAAAATATGAAAACGACCACCTACTTTTTGTTCTATTGAATTCCAATAGATAAAAAATCCCCACAAATCAATTTGTACGAAAACTTTATGCCATGTCATTTGTTTCGAGGGGTTTTCTGTTTCCTATATTGATCATATAATCAATGGATTATAAATAATAAAGCACTATATAAAAAACCTAAAAATGTAATGAGTTTGAGTGTCTTTGTAAATTCTACTTATCGTACATGTGGAGCTCGAACAAACAATTGAAAAACTGTTCAGTTTCATCCTCATTTATTTCGAGGTATCAAAATAGTTAGATATTTAAAAAAGGCCACTAGGTCTTTTCCATTCCTAAAAAGGCTCTAAGCTTATATGCAAAGATTTAGGTTATCCTTTGACTGTCATGCATTTGAACTATCCTTGTTGGTCTCTACTTCTCTTTTAAAGCTTTGACGTTTTGGTGATAAGTCCAACACATCAAATCTGACATCTCGTGGGAGACTCACCAATTAATTTACATTATAAATCAAGTAGATCCTTCTTACAAGTAAATATGGATGGAAAAACCCAGCAGAAATCAGTGATATTACAAAGATTCAGTTGTTATGATGGAGATTAAGTGTTATTGTAATTGTAAATCAGTCGTGTAGATTGTTACAAAAGTCTTTTACACTTACGTATACAAAGATATCTTTTTAATCTGCAATAAGTTTATATTTTTAAAAGCGTGACTTTGACTTTTTCACATGAATTTATAAATAATGTACAGTGTAGAAAATCAACAAAGATAAATTCCATTCATTATTTCAAACCTCCAGTCAGGTTACAATGCATCTAGTTCAACAAGTGTTGTCTTTATTCTACTACATTACTTCTTAAAGATTCTGAATAATCAACAGAACGTTCTGATAATTGAAAGAGTCCAAGCGATCTCATTTATATGATGTCTTTCAAATTATCATTGTGCTAGAGTATTGCACAATGAAGTAAACGACAACCATTGGTTTTTCCTCATTTTCAACATATATCTACATGTCTAATAAATAATTAAAAAAACAGTGTATGATATGACCGATTTCCACTTATGATAGACAAATAAATACAACTCAGTGGTTTATTCCGAATAACAGAATATTGATTGTCAAGTGTTTCATAGGTTTGCTAAACAACTTATTCATTCAGCAACACAGCACAATAAAGAAATAATTGAGAGAGAATAAAGATATAACTTTTAAACTGGGTTACAACTTAAGCTTTCCCAGGACAAAAATCCAGTTGAAAGTCTTATATGATTTTATAACGACTTGATCACAAAGCACTTAATTTAACAGTGTCATACAGGCTTCTCTAGTCGTATTATTAATTGTTGTTACGTAACCTTAAGATAATTGGTAAAACCATATTATACAGTTAAACTAACCGATATTCAGTTAGTGACGTTTATTGTTGTGCAAATTGTGAGACGTATTAGCAACTATTATTTGCTTCATAAAGCTTCATGTAGAATAAGACATAAATCCCGTAAGAATTTTAATGGAAAACCATATAACATATAACATACTACATTATGTAGAGTGAGAACCATATCTAACCTTTATTTCTGAGCCAGGATCTATTCAAAATGCAAGCCAATCGGAATTTATTCATTTTTCATCCATTTAGATATAAGTGTAAACACTATTTATGAACTCCGTTACATATTTACAAATTTATCTAAATTTGTTAATACAGTAGACAATGAAAACTATTATCATAGTGGACTAATGTAGTGTAAAGACTACTTTTATGTGGTGCCATTATGAGAGAGTTGGCTAAAGGTAGCCGTTGCTCATACTAGTCAATATGCAACTTTAATGAGACAAGAATTTACACTCCTGACATTTGAATCTAAATGATGTCTAATTCTACATTAAACCGCATTACAAAGTTTCATATGTCTGGATTTGTCAAATGCACCGAATTTGATAACTGAACTTAAAAAGCTGATCACTTCTGTTTTATTATGAATGATTCTTTAGGTGACATCTATATGTGATGAAAATTACTCTTCTATGTTTCAACAACCTAGTCAAAGATTTATTCACCTAAAATGACTTTAAAAGTTTAGAAGCAAAAGTGAATTTGAGCATTACATATATATATATATATATATATATATATATATATATATATATATTCAGAAAAGGGTTTTTGTGGATATCATAGTAATTTGATAGTTTAATTCATGAGTCAATTGAAGCTAAACAACGATAGAAAACCTGGAAGTACTAGAGGGCCTAGTGGTTAAATGCTCGCGCGCGATACTGACGGGTCCTGGGTTCGAACCTCGCGAGGTCGTGGACGCGCACCAATAAAAAGTCGAGCACTAGAACGAAACGGCATACAGTGCTTCCGAGTTCTCCATTGTGGTCTAGCTTCAATTAGCTCATGAATTCAATTAATATATATATATATATATATATATACCGTTTATTGCAATAATTTAATAAATTAGTTTTTTTGCTAAATAAACTTCCATTTTAATCAGTTAATAATTAGGTTTTGTAATTTTTCTAAATTTTACAATATTAAATTGAGCACGATATTGACGAAACCTTAGAATTTGTAAATTACTTTATTATTTAAAATAAAAGTATGGTTACATCTAATAAATAGAATGACTATATAAGTCGATAATGAACTGTTATAATCACTGAAACATCTGTTTCATAGAGAAATCATTTTTGTTTCTAATGAGCTCATCATTGAAGGATTACTTTTTAAGATGATTTCTTTCATTTTTGTCTACCATGCTGCTAACATAGTTATTCAGCATTCTGTTTTTTATATCTAAACTAATATAAGCTTGTTTATCAATAACAGACTGAATAAATAGTTGTCAATATTGATGTTCCTACAATGTAAAAACAAAACGTTACCAGCGATATTTTGATTTTATTCTCAATGTGTTTGAATAAGAATAAGATAAAGACAACGGGAACAAATTGTTATTGTTGATGCGTCGTTCGTTTTGTTTTTTCTTACTTTCTTCTAGTTTTATTCTTCCTTGTTTACAGTAATTTCGTAAAATGCTTGGAAATTCATTTCCTTGATTATACATATAGTTTTATTTTGATTTGTTAGATGCGTAATTGGAAAATTAATATTTTTATTAAAATTGGTGATTGTTTATCCATCTCCTTCTTCTAGTCAGTATTAATCATGTAATTCATGCACTTTCAAGTTCCCCTGCTGTAGAAACACCAATGTAGTATATATATATATTGTTCCGTCGAAAATGTTTTTCTTATGTAACCGACAAATACAAATTTTCCGCGTTGTTTGTAAATAATTGTCTTATTTTGCATCTTCGTTGTTAATATAAACATCATTTTCAATAGAACACCATGTAACAAATGTTTTAATTCGAATTTTATGTATATTTCTTAAATTACGGAAATGTCATTATGGGGAAAAAAGTTAAACATTGATAATGAGCTATTTATTTATGCCATTGAATAATAGTATTGAATATGTGATGAATGAATGAAATGTATACGTCAAACGTACAAGTTATTGTTATATTGTAAGCACACACGTGATTACTTAAACATTGTTTTACTGTATAGACTTTAGAAACAAAAAATAGGAATATAAGAGTATTCGTCCTTGCTTTAGTATTTGAGATACTAAAACTGATTTGCGCTCTTTACTTTTGCTATTGAAATTCTGTATAATGCACTAGTTTCATAATTAGGGTTTGAATGAGCATTTTATAATACACTAGTAACTATAAATTAGTCGAACTTTATAAGTTGGGAAATAGTGAAAAAAAAACAGCTTAGAATGGTTTTGTACTTATCACAGACAATTAATATAACTAAACATTTTATCATTGTCAGGATTTTCCTTAAAGGAAATATTTGATCTCATTGTTGAATAGATGCAGATAAACTGTCAGTTACTTTCTCAACTAGCGATCCTAATAAAATTGCCCTAGACATATGGAAATCTTCGACTAATTTAAAGTCCTTTAATCAATTGATAATCATTGTAAACATCAAAATACTTTCGATTAACTTTTAGCTTTTGTTTTTAATATGATGAGGTTTACTAGAAATACGTGATCAGTAAATGACTTATTTGGACCTCATAATATTGTTCTACCCAAAGAGAAAGATTAATGTGAGTTGTTTTGATTAAAATATTTTGAATGATTTTCAACATACCTGGAAACAAAGAGAAAATTCATCACCTTCAGTTAACAAATTCGGTACCGGTAACCAAGGCAGGTTAGGTTCACTGTGCTTATTTTGAATGTTATTTTTCAACATTTCTACATATATCAGACTTCATGTTACATCATTGGCAATTAATAAATTCATATTCTGTAGTATTTTATATTCACTGAAAATATGAAAAACAAATTCAGCATTGAAATATATACGTTAAACTGATATGTGTTACTAAATATGAATAGTAACGTCCAGGACTTTCTAAGAATAACTACCATTTTAACGTACCTACTAAATTTAGTATAATGACTGACAAAGTCATTCATCTAAATGAATCATACTCTATTTGATATCAAATTTTACTCAAACTGAGTTATAGTAATTATGTTATAATGTGTTGAAAACTCAGACTGAGATTAATAAATTAAATGATGCGGATAAAACTAAATATTACAGAATAACCAAACACATATCAAATCATTCAGAGTAAACAGTAAAACCAACTATATTGGTATTTTGAGAAGATAGCATTTTTCAAAAGCCGCTATTATTATACATTTTGGTTTTGTAGAGTTCTTTTATATACGTTTTGCTTCAGGCTATTTAATACAAGAGATGTTTTATGTATAAGACTGAATTCATGAATACATAAAAAATTGACTCTGTTCAGATATGAAATACTTTTGCCAACATATATTACATTTATAAAAGTCTGTTTATGATAGTTATTCCAAAACTATAACAATGTGTGTACATAATTTACTTGATTATACAACTGATACAAAGCATTCCCATTCGTCTACCAAACAAGTTTAAATACCTCTGGAAATAAAACCTGGTAGTAGATTAATACTGATGATGCAGTTGAGTCATATTAGAGATCGAATACCGACCCCTGTTTCAGAACTGCAAAAGAGCTTGTGTAACCTTCATCAAGCTTACAAAAGCAATTTCTATCCATTTAATCAAAGATCATTTTAAGGGAGGAGCTGATGCTTTTCACTTAGCAATCATTTTTGAGAATAGCATTAGAGATGATAACTTCTGCTTATTGTAAAATATTTGAGGCAAATATGGATATTAACAGAAACTTCTATATAGCTTATTATGATATACATCATATTAGACACTTAGAGGTTACGACTTCGTGATTTGAACAATTTTTACATTTGTTTTTTATACCTCAGTGTCTAGTTCTTTTCAGTGTCCACCTTAAATTTTTCCGCAATCTTTATTTCATTGTAATTTAACTGTGAGATGTTTTTCACACATAAGCACTATTAACTTTCAGGAATGTTTCTTGATTGTAAAGTTTTCATATAAAATTGGCGTAAACTGTACCGTTTATCAATTGGTGAAGTAATTTAATAGCGTCAAAGTATATATATATATATCATCAAATGTCTCGATACCATCATTAGCTGTCAAATGAGACATATTTTTCAGGAAATAGACGAACAGCTGTTAATAATTGAAACTTAATCAGTTTATTCGATAAGATAGTAAACCACTAAATAAACCACACAAGGTACGAATTAAGGATGAACTGTCTTTCAAGCTGTTATTGCAAGAAGAACGCATTCCACGTCAGAATCATTATGCTTGGCGAGGTATTTTCGATATCTATGTGTATTGGCATTAAACATGTAGATTAGCCCAATCTGTTCATTGTAAAACTTTTACTATTATTTGCTACGTTTTTATATGTTCGACAAAATAATTTGGACAACTGTCACAAAACAAGTTTTCGTCAAGCGTCTGTCCAGATGTTCGCTTCAACTATACACAAACTTTTATTCCTAGTAGCTTATGGGCGGATTGAGTTTTGTTATTATATATGACTTTATCGTAAAGGATGGACCGAGAAAATTGAAATGAATTATTTAGACACCTTACATTATATTATATACACATAATAGGCTGATTAACTATTAAACACGACCTTATGCTAAATATCGACCAGTCAACAATCCCATGACTACGTAATCCAGAAATACTATAGAAACTGATCGTTATTCCACCGTGATTAGATTTGTCTTATTTGAACCTTTGTTTAGCTTAGTAAATAATTTATGTAGCTTAACAGCAATATTTATTTGTATTAACATTTCGCTGTTTCACTGGCTATAACATTCGAAGTTGATCGATACCTGACCTGAACTAGTTATCAAAGTGAACGTAACACATACCTCTGACTTGAAAACTGTTTTGTATTTTCTGAAAGAACGTACTTTCATGGTCTAAACACTAAGTCAGTATTCTTGATCCTATGTATTGTGATAGTGAGTTCATTTTAAAATATATGTAATCGAAAACGATAAGTGATGCCGTAAATTTATAGTGGTCAACCTGATATTAATTTAAGAACTGCTTCTAATGTCTTAAATGACTTCCTACACCGATCAATGGTTATGAGAATTTCGTGAAAGGTTTCCAGGCTTCTATTTAGATTATTTACAAACTTCGAGATAAAATAAATTCCACCTATCTGGAAATTTCTGAAATAAAATTGTTAATTTATGTGAGAATAATAATGATAAACCTTTTGTACCAAGTTATATTCTTGCTGAAAGTAAGTAGTAAGAGATCAATCAGTCATGGAATTGCATATAAGTTGCGTTTTCAATCTTCACCGCATCATCTCTTTATCTATTTTTTGTTGATAAATCACTATTACACAAAGGATGATGGATTCTACATGTCTGTGTTTACATATTACTGAGAAAGGTTTGTTATTCTTTCTAGACGAGACATCAAGAACGTCAAGTAATTTCAACGAAATAAAACTCTCGAGATAGAACGTATATTGAAATACATTCATTCACCCAAACGTTCCGTAAGTATCAATCATTAATGTTGATTTTGATGTTTACAATGACAGGTACAGACTTGTAGATAAACCATCCAGACCAGAGAATATAAGATTATCAAAAGACAGGCGCACAACCTAAAACGTAGTGATCATCTATTTATAAGTTTGCTCGCGACATATACTTGAATCTTTAAAGGAATAATCAAATAAATTAAGACAATATATTATTGAAGAATGAGCAGTGAGCAAAATTACTGGTTAGCATACCAGATGTTCTGCAACCATAGATTTTTTTTCCAAAACCAAGTATGTAAATAGAGAAAAATGATTATCTTGTTAACTAAATACAATAATAGTTGATGGCAAGAATGCTTGTAAAATTACCTTTGACTACTTCTAACTGAGTGATTGCAAGTACACAAATCAATTTTAAGTTCATCTGAATAACGTCAAATCATGTAGATAGCGATCAAGCACCCTACTAGAAAGTGATGGGCATAGCCGTCAGACTACAAGCAAATACATAACGCAAGTAAACATTCAAAAACAGGACGACATCGATTAAATAGTTATTCATATTTTGGGATAAAGCGCAAACAAATAGCAACATAAATATGTTGTTATTAAATATATGATAATAAGACCGAATTACAAGATAAATTAATTAGTGGCTTAAGGAATAATTTAAAAAATGCATGAAGAATGAAAATAAATTTAAAATACGGTGTTCTTCTTTAGTGGAGACTTTAGATTTTAAATGCAAAAGACATGATGAAACCCATATGACAGTAATCTAACGTTCATCAGCGACTTCAAGAAAAAGTCATCAACCATGTAGCAGGGAATGCGGTATTGGTTGTTAGTAAAGTTTTGTTGCTAATTTAGCGAAGTTATTATCGATAAATTTTAACTCACTAGTTTGGTAAGTTCATGATATCTACTTCACCCGTACATTTCACTACATAGTCATAAATGAAAAAATTAAATTGCTTTAGAGGAAAGCATCTACTGTCAAACAGGCCGCAGTATTTTTCCGTTTATAAGTAGATATTAATTAGTAACGAACACTATATTCATACGAGTTAGTTTCATTCTTAACTACAAAATATTATGAAGAATCAGTCACTTGAAAAACAAGGAAAAACTTTCTGAATTGAATCAAATGAACAATATTATCACCGGACACGTTCTGTTTACATTAAGATTCGAATGAATAACCTAACAAATATTAGCCCATAAGGAAAGATTTGTATGTGTGATAAAAATTATTTGAAAACCAAAGAATCTAGAATTAAATTCATAAAACATGAAAGATTTTTCGGTGAAACTACAACTTATAGACAACCTTTGAACGACGCTAAAATAACCTCGAAAGGAGTTATAAAGCAGTTTGACGAATAAGGATTCTGATTTACAGTTGATAGTTAGGGTTAGGAATTAGATTTAGAGTTTTCATCACGAACTTACATCAGCTATAATGTCAAAACTCTACTTAGCCAAATGGTTGAATGAATTTCGCGCCAAAATCTAAGACTTGTCGTAAATCTGATTGGTTAATCCATAAATTATAGTCTCGCCGTTTTTTCTTATTTTTCAGCAGAGTAAACTTGTAAGATAACTTCATGTGTAAATATATACGACACCTAATATAAGTTTTAATGCATGAAAGAAATATGTAAATAATCTAATTAAATAGTAGATAGGTATTTATAAAGTATGTCAAATGTTCCAATAGTTATGAGCTGAAACGAAATATGATTTCAGTGATTATAGAAGACTTTCTTTTGACTTCAGTCCTTAAATTGGTTTTATAATTCGTTCAAGAAATAGTGTTGATGATGTTTTTATATATAAATGAAGACGTTCAAAAAAACTAGTTGATCTGACTTATCAAGATGTTTTTACTTATTATTCAAGAAAATTTTTGACATAAACGTTAGGTGACCAATACAGAGAATAAATGTAATTCAAGTAGAAACAATTAGTAAAATATAAACCAATAAGTTTCGTATACACAGGATTCTGGGAGCTTATCTATTTAAAGAAAACCCAGTTATTTTTTAGTCAACTTTTAAGGCCTGATCTTGACAGAAGAGACAATCATTAAAGACCTCAGTTGTACCATACCAAGATATGTGTCTTCTGGAGTTAAAAGTTTACACACTGCTCATAGATTTCGTTAAAAATCTTCAATTTTTGCGTGAAAATGTCTTAAGTTATGTGATTATAAACTGATGAATATTGTACAATACTGTGAAATGAATCTATGAATTATGAAATATTGCATTATTATAGGAAATACAATCGTAAACATTATTTATCACTGCATTTTCATTTCTACGTAAAATGGCATAAATCTC